GGTCAAAAGGCAACATAAAGAACTTTAAAAAGTAGTGCTCATCCTACCTTCCCAAGAGATGACTGGGACTTACTGGGCCAGGCATTGAATTAGTTTAGCAGGTAGCAAGTAAAAGAGATAGAAAAATATGATTGTAAAATAATAATGAAGATTGAAAGTAATTTTTCTCAAGAGTTGGGTACTGAAAGGCAGTGGCAGGTCTAAACCCTGAAGAACTCAACATACAGGATAATTTTTGTTTAAAGGTTTTATATGTATAGCCTTGCTTAAAAATTCCCAATTTTAAATAAAGGAAATACCTCTGAAGTTATTATATGTAATTATGCACACAAAGTGGAATTTATATACTTTCTAATTAATTACCTATATATAGTTTTTATGCTACTTTATATAAAATAACTGAAAATTACCCATTTAGTTTTAGTGACTAATTTGTTTTATGAATAATACATAACTTGAAGGATATTTATAATTTGTTTATTTGAAATATTAACTTATTAACAAAAAAGACATTGAAAAACACCCAATTTAGTTAATCCACTGTAACTGTTTGATTGCAGATGTTTCCCCACACTGATGGGCAGCTAACTGAGGTAGTGCTATCCACTACAGTCAACTCTCAATTATCTGTGGTAATGGGAAACAACAATGCATGGGTAATTCTAAAACGGAATATTTTATACAGTATGCTCCTGTCATCTGCTGGGTCCTGAGCATGTGATTGGGTTCATGAGGGAGAGGTGGGAGTGGAGTTCAGGCTTGCAGAGGGGCTTGGAGTCAGTATGATTATCTCAAGGCAATACGAGGTATCCTGTAGGAACCTGGGTTTGGCATTATCTGGCTGAAGTGTCATGGGGGAAGCCTGCAGCATGCAAGACCAGCTTGGCAAAATCAGTGAGAAGGATAGGGAAATTAATTAGTAAGGAACCATGGGAGAAGAGATGTTTAAGCCCTGCACAATTGCAGTGATATTCCTTGGTGTGGTTTTTTTTTTTAGGTGAACAGGATCTGTAGCAAACAATAATACTATTGATAGCAGTGTACTTGTGTTAGTTTTGGTCTACTTTGCTAAGGGAACACATTTTTCGCTTGTCACAGGTGAGTGTCGTTATTGAGGCCTCTTCTTAATAAGTTTATTATTATAAAACTAGTAACTTTAGAAACCTAGGATAAATTGGAAATGTTTTCTTACTATTAAAATTCTTCCTAAATATGTGTTTAACAGTAGTTAGAACATTTAATGAATTTCAGCAGTATAATATGAAAGAATATTATGGGGACACTTTTCAGTTAGCAATGATTGTGCCTCACTCACATAAGCTCATTCATTGACTATGATACTGGCACTGCACAAGTTGAAAGAATATTATGAAGACAATGGCAGTAATAATTGCTGAAAGTTGTGAATTTAATAGAGGAAAACCATATATATTTTTTAAAATACATTATGTACATTAAAGAGCTTAAATTTCTTTTAAAACTGATGATTGGTTATAAGTTGATGAATGTTGAAGCTGGGCAATAGGTATGAGAGAGTGTTTATCATATCATTTTTTTAAAAAGTTAATGACTCCCAATATCTATACTTAGGGAATCATTAGAAGTATTAGCCTTATATCAGCTCTTGTGAAAAGTTTGGAAACAGTTGCTATTTGAGAGTGAGTAATGTAACAGACCAGCTAACTATAGTCCATTCTCTAGAGATCATTGGTTCTCAACCCGGGTAATTTTTACCCCAAGGGGACATTGGGCAATGTCAGACATTTTTGGTTGTCAAAACTTGGGGTGGGGGAGTGCTACAGTTATCTACTCGGATGCTTCTCTATATCTTGCAATGCTCAGGACAGTCCCCCCCAACAAAGAATTACTGGACTCAAAATATCAGTAGTGTCATTGTTGAATAACTCTGCTTTAACTTTTCTAAGATGTAAGCATTCTTTTATAGTAGACCGCTAGAAACATTATATAGCCAAACTAAATTATTTTAACTTTCCATAGATGTACATTTTCAAGAGTTATGTTTTAAATATATACCTTCAGTTTTTATTGAAATTTGATGTAAGATGCTACAAAGAACATGATTTTTTTTTCTTCATATGTTTCCACTTTGCCTTCTCTCCCAGGAAGCTTAGAGCTAAATTTTATGCTCTGTTGTAACAACTGTGCATTATTTAGGCTTACAGTTCTATTGTATTTTTCTTTGCTATTGGTCTTCTTTTTATCCGTAATGTTATAATGGTCTATAGGTTTGGGCTGTGTGTATATTTATGTGCATATGAAGAGAACATACAGATAATATGTAAATGTCCCCAATCTCTAGACCAATTCTCATCTCTGTATGATGAAATGAACATATTTCTAATTTATATTTTAATGCTTTTTAAAAAAGTTATATTTTAAAACAATCTTAAAATATGTGCCTGTTATGAAAATACTATATATTAGTGCAATAATTGCAAAGTTGCTTCCCACTTTTCATTCTCCAAGGGTTTATTAATTTTTCTAGCATGAACATTTGAAATTGAAATTCCAGTTTGCTGTAAGGTTGAGATTCTGTTATGGTTGATCAGGTTTGCCTGTAGTCCCAGCTACTGGGGGAGGGTGAAGCAGGAGGATCGCTTGAGCCCAGGAGTTTGAGGTTGCTGTGAGCTAGACTGATGCCACAGCTCTCACTGTAGCCTGGGCAACAAAGTGAGACTCTGTCTCAAAAAAAAAAAAAAAAAAAAAAAAAAGAATTGACAGGATTCTTTGGTTTCATTTCTGAATAAGTGAAGTACATTTCTAAAAACTGAGGAGAATAAAAATAATGTCTTAAGAGGATTACATTCTCTGATAAACCTTTTATTGGTCTGACAAAGACCAGTTATACAAAAAAAGGCCATATTTTGTTTTTTTAATTTTGAAGCATACTTGAAAAGTATGAAATAATTTTCCATATTTTTAATGATTCAGGATGACTCATTAAACTTTATTCAAAATGTGATTAATTTCCATTTCTCTAGAGTTAAAAATTAGATAAATTTTAATATCATAACTAATATGCAAACTTCTCTTTTCTATTAAATTTCTCCCAAGCAATTGAAAAGGAAAGCAGTTCTCATAATTTACCTAACCTGCACAGAAAAAGTTCAGACACAGTTTTTTCTTAAAAAGAAATGCTTAAAATGATAATTTTACTATCATGTTTAGTTTTTAGTTTGATGCTTCATTTAGACACTTATTAGCTCTGCAACATATAGATCCTGTTTTTAAGATCTCTTGGTTGTAGAGAAATAAGGCACTTAGAATTTGTTTCAAGTTTACCTCATATTTTAGGCAATCTAGAAGGATGAATGATCAGCTTTCAGATTTCTTACGGTGGTATTTAATAATGTCATGATTGGTTATCATCTTTCCTTCTCATAGTTATTACCAGGTTTTTCTTTTAGAAATGGAAATTTGAGGCTGGGTGCGTTATCTCAAGCCTGTAATCCTAGCACTTTGGGAGGCTGAGGCGAGCGGATTGCTTGAGGTCGGGAGTTGGAAACCAGCCTGAGCAAGAGCGAGACCCTGTCTGTACTAAAAACCAGAAACAAATTAATTGGCCAACTAAAAATATATAGAAAAAATTAGTTGAGCATGGTGGCACATGCCTGTAGTCCCAGCTACTCAGGAGGCTGAGGCAGAAAGATCGCTTGAGCCCAGGAATTTGAGGTTGCTGTGAGGTAGGCTGATGCTATGGCAACAGAGCGAGGCTGTCTCAGTAGACAGACAGACAGACAGGTAGGTAGGAAGGAAGGAAGAAATTTGAAGTAGGACTGGGGAGGAGTTAGCAAAAAAGTATGTCTGTTAATTGCTACTTGAGCCAGGAATGGTAGTAAGAGAGATGAACAATTTTAGTGAAGTGTTTATCAAACTCTTTTGACTGTAACCCACAGGAAAAAAATGTTACATTGTATTCAGTACACAATTAATGTATATACTTATGCACACAACAGATGTTTCAAGAAACAATACTGTATTTGAAATAATTGCTACTCATATACCACTAAATTTTAACTTGCACTTTAAAAATACTGCTTTTAGTGTATTAATTACCTGTGTATGTGAAGAAATTCACCTTTTGTTGGCAATTAGAAAACTGTAAGAACACATTGTCATTCTGTACTAAATTATGTCCTATGTGCACATTTAGTGAATGAATATAAATGAATGAAATAGTTTATAAACATTGTGTCATGATAAAATATAAGCAGCTTGGCCCAAGCAAACTTAAGTTTTTTGTCAAAAATTACTCTCATTTTTAACATTATAGTTATATTTTGGCCCTCTTTATTTTTTTTATAAAAAGATGTTTAAACACTAATAGAAATTACACTAATAGGTTATTTTTTAAATGTAGCCAGATTAATCATTAGGGCTTTCTTAATCATCATGTTAGGCTAAATCTTAATGGAAAGGGAAAAATTAGCATGCTTTAACCTAGGGATTGGCAAACTTGTTGTGAAGAGGTCACCTAATAAATATGTTAGGCTTTGTGGACCATAACATCTCTGTTGCAGCTACTCATCTCTGCCATTGTATTGTAAAAGTAGCAAAAGACAAGTAAGCGTTGCTGTTTTCCAATAAAACGTTACTTATGGAAACAAAAGTTCGATTTTGATACAATTTTCATGTGTCATAGCATTTTTTTCCTTTGGGTTTTTTCCCAACCATTAAAAACCATATACACACATGGAACTAAAATAAAAAAAAAAACAAAAACAAAAAACCATAAACACCACTGTTACCTTGTGAACTGTAAAAATCAGGTTATGGGCCAGATTTGGCCTGTGGGTGAAGGTTTGCCAACATTTTGTTAGCTTAAAAATGGAGAAAGTCAGTAGTCCTGAAAGGAGAAAGTGTAGCAAGCATGGTTGAGAATATGAATAGCAATATTAGATCTCTGAGCACTTATATTTTGATCTTTCTGTGTATCAAAGATATACATTTTTGTGTTGTTTTTATATCATATTTTGCAGACAGTTGATATTCATAAAGAGAAAGTTGCAAGAAGAGAAATTGGTATTTTGACTACCAATAAAAACACTTCAAGAACACATAAGATTATTGCTCCCGCCAACCTTGAACGACCAGTTCGTTATATTAGAAAACCTATTGACTATACAATTCTAGATGATATTGGACATGGAGTAAAGGTATGTGTAATTTTTATCAAGCTTTTTAAACAGTAGTGCATAATAAAACTAACTTTTTAGAAAATTAAGTTTTATCTTTCCTTTCCTAGAGGACCAAGTCTTGGCCCAGTTGTGGTTGTGAAGATTCCTCGCAACTGTAACTGTTTATCTCACTTCTTCCTTTTTCTTAGTGCTATGTTCTCAAGTTTTAAAGAACCATCTTTGAATGAATTACATTTGCTTAACTACTTAAGATAATACCTCATATAGATTGAGTAAATAAGTGTGGGGTAGTCTAATTTTAATGATTTAATGACTGAATAAAAAAATCATTCAGCGTGCTATTAAAATATTCACTTTATCATAAATTTTTCAGCAGACTTTTGGCATTAGTTTTTAAACACAACATACTGAAAAACATGTACTTTGAATTTTTCTAAGATAATTTTATCTGAACATTTTGGATGGGAATAGTGTAGGTAAAAGTAGTGTATGAATGAATATTTCCACTGCTTTTGAGTATTTAGCCATTATATATTTTGGTTATCTTTTAAGATGTTTTCGAGTGCCTAGTTTGTATATACAATACCATAATCAGGCTGGGTGTGGTGGCTCTGCCTGTAATTCTATCACTCTGGGAGGCTGGTGACAGGAGGATCACTGGAGGTTAGGAATTTGAGACCAGCCTAAGCAAGAGAAAGACCCCATCTCTACTCAAAGAAAAATCAGCTGGGTGTTAGGGCATGTGCTTGTAGTCCTAGCTGCTCTGGAGGTTAGGAGGATTGCTTGAGCCCAGGAGTTAGAGGTTGTAGTGAGCTATGTAGTGAGCTATGATGGCGCTGCTGCACTTTAGCCTGGGCGACAGAGCAGCAAGAGTCCACCCCCTTCCCCGAAAAAAGCCACAAAAAACCAGAGGGAAACTCTGGCTCAAAGGAAAAAAGTACTATAAACTAAGGAACAGGTAAGGGTGTGAGGAGTGGAAAAATAAAACCCCCCCAAAAACTAAGGAACATGTAAATTTTATTTAAATCTGTGTTTGTACTTTAACTATTCAGAGCTTTAACTAAGTGCAGAGTTATTTAAAATTTGCATCTGATCAGTGATTTGGAAGATAATGAATTATCAAATGTGACTTTAAATAAATATACATATATGCCTATATGAAACTGTACGATTCATTTTTTTCCTAATATAAGCATATTTAAATAAAAACAACTCAAACTACAAGGTGTCACCAAAGTCTCCAAACAAAGGTACAATTTTGTAAAATGTTGTAATGAATATTTTATAAATAAAGGTACATTTGGCTACAATTTCTCATTTTCCCTATGTATGGCAACTTTTGGGACACCCTGTATTATGGCTGGAAATCAGTTAAATCTAAATTTAATGTAGATCTAGGTATAAAGAAAATACATGGTATAAATTTAAAAATTTTTTTCTTCTCTGAGTTTTAATATAAGCACTATTATCTAGAATTTGATATTTAATTTTATAATTGATGCCCACATGCATTTAGATTTCTAATTATAGCATGTTAAAATAGGCTGTGTAATTGGATGGTTAATGACTGAAATTTATTCTAACTTGGGAAAATTTATTCAAGGCTAACAACTGCTAATGGAATATTTTAGCATATTGCCAGAATCTAATGCCAAAGACACTGTAAGTGATAAAACATCACATTTGTGTTTGCCCACTTATATAATTAGAAGGTGATTTTCCTCCCCATTCTTTTTTAATCCTCGAAGTAAAATGTTATTCTTTTAGGACTCTGTATGTAGTCCCTTCATTGTTTGGACTTTTAGTGTTTAATAAGGTCACTAATTTGAAGAAATATTTAATAAAATTATATCTTTAAATAAAACAATGTCTTAAATAATTTCATCAAAGAAACTCCTGTTCATGACACATTCTGCTTTAACCACTCTTTCTATGATCTACTGAAACATTATTTTGTTAATGCTGAATGCTTAACTTGTTTTTTGTTTTATTCCTTTCTCTTCACATCTTGAAGTTTCAACTAACCTTTCAATGCTTTTTTTCCTTACCTCTTTTATTTGCTCCATTTATGCATTAAGTGGTTGCTTAGATTTAAGGTAAGAGATTCCAGGGCTTGATTTCCATTCTTTGTCCTTATGTAGAATATTACATATGGGGAGTAAAGAGATATTTGGCACTTGGCCTTTGAAAGCAATGAATAATCTCTCTTTTTTATTTTATTTTTGTCATGCAACTTTGTGATGTCTTCATGTTCTTTGCGGGCAGATATTCTTGTCTATTTTGTTCACTACTCTATCTTTTGTGCCTAGAACAGTGCCTAACACATTAGGTGCTTAGTAAATGTTTGTTGAATGAATGATTATTTTGCAGTGTTAACATATTTTGTGAAACTGAAATGCAAGCTACCCTATCATAAAATGTTATGAAATATAATTAGCTGGATTTTTGTAAATATAGAAATTTTATGAATTGGAGGGCCAACTAATGTGCTTTATTTAACCCTCCCCCTGTGTAATAGCCTTTTTATTCTATAAATGGTATGCTTTCTCATACACTTTAGGACAATATGTCATTATCTTTTGACTTAATCAACGTAGAGATATTGAGAAGCAGAAAATATTCAGTGTTGTGGTTTTTTTTTAAGTTGCAGTATCAATATTTTTTTGCTAAAATGATTTTCAACTAGCTATATAAAATACATACTTCAGTATAAACTTTGAGTTTAAAAAAGTGAATATTATATGCAAAACATCAAAAGCTCATGATAATGTTTAGCAAAATATAAGTTAAGAATTAGAGATAATATTTCCTGTTGTAATTCATTTCAGTAATATTTTAGTATTGGGAGGATTAATGGTTAAGGAAATTCAACAATATTCAAGAAGCCTGTTAAATAGGTTACTACAATTATTTTCATCAAACTTAGCATGCATTTCCTCTTTGTTCTTTTTTTCTTAGCCAACCTTTATAATTTCTTTTTAAATTTATATTTTTTCAACTGAACACCGTGTTATTTGCCATGTCATCAATGTAGTAAATGATAAGAAGACAAAATGACTGAGTTCTGAATCATTAAGTACTAACCATGGCCACAGAAATTCTATTCGATCATAGTAGATAGATCTGACTAGAGGAGTCCAGGCAAATGTACATCATGTGTTATTGATTGGATGGTTGACTCCAAACCTTGAGTCTTGGTGAGTAAAACATGTGGATTTGTGAGGAGATTCCTTTTGCTTAAAATAGGTGGCTTGCAGTGAACTAGACCTAAAGCAGGCTGTGTGGTTGCCTTGGCCCATTTCCTCTAAAGTCTTCATTCAAATTTTGCTTATTATTGTGTTAATCTCCAAAGTGATAGAAGTACACAAAAAGATTAACTGAAGAAAAGGCACAGAAATGGACAAATGTTTTACCCATAAAGTTTGATCATCTTGCCCAAGCCACTCTATCCTATGCTCATTTCCTGTAAACCCTGCTTTGATTCCTTCTTGAGTTTCCTGAGTTCAGGATCTATTCTCATGTGGGAGACAGGCCAAACTGAGAGGCTCCTAGAAAAATCTAACTACAGATCACACTTAACGTAATATCCCTTAACATCACACTTAGATAAAATTCCTGAGCTTTTTGGGGACCTATGAATTAAGTGCCTTAGAAGTTTCCTGCTGGTCAGTAGGATTATGGATTCCTTATCCTCATTTAAATCAGGGTAGCTGATTAAATGGAGCTTTAAAATGTGCTTATAATTTAAAGTATATTTAAGATCTAGCCTTTTTTCCTTCTTAGTTCTTTTTAAGCTCTATTTTTGTCCCATTGCTGTCAGACATGTAATACTTTTCATAAAAAAAGTATTTTTTATGCTTTTAAAAAGTAGAAATACTTTTCTAAAAAAGTCATACTTTGGGACTAGACATATGGAATTTGACTCAGAAGAGACTGCCTTGTTTTAAAAGTTGAATTTGTAGGCTGAACATGGTTAACTCCTGTAATCCCAGCACTTTGGGAGGCTATGGCAGGTGGATTGCTTGAGGCTAGGAATTCTAATCTAGCCTGAGCGACACATACTGAGATTGCATTTCTACAAACATTTTTTAAAAAATTAGCCGAGTATGATGGCATACTCCTGTAGTTCCAGCTGTTTCAGAGGCTGAGGCTGGAGGATCGCTTGAGCCCAGGAGTTTCAGGTTACAGTAAGCTATGATGATGCCACTGTACTCTATCTAGCTCAGGCAACAGAGCAAGACCCCATCTTCAAAAAAGTTGAATTTTTAATATTTTGTACATTTGATGATGAACCTTAATGGTTCTTGTTATCCAAAATTTGGTTAAGTTTTTTCTTCAGTCAAATTATGGATTTTCATTCATGAGACTTTTAAAGCAATGTGATGTTTTTACAACACAGGGCATAAAAAGGCCAGTGGATAGAATGCCATATTGGAGGTGTTTTAATATGTACCTGAGGCCATATAAAAGTGAAATGTACCTTGAACTGGGGTTCCCTTTCCCTGCTTTTTAACAGTAAAAAGACTTTTAAGACCCTGTTACTGAGGTCAATATGATGTATTATACATATTGATGTGGTAATACAATAATACAATTATACAATTAATATAATGGATTTTTCTGTTGAAAGCATTAAAGTCACGAGTGAAGTTAAGCTTATGTACTTTTTAAATAAGCATATTAGTTTATCAAAAATAATAAAAATTATTAATATAGTGTTATTTCAGTTGAACATTGCCCAAGCAGACTGAATAATTAATGAGCAGTGATGAAGTATTTTACAACTAACAAATTAATAATATAACACATTTAGAAATTTTGCTGGGCTGGATGCAGTGGCTCATGCCTATAATCCCAGAGCTTATAGGGAGGCTGAGGTGGGAGGATCACTTGAGGTTGAGGGTTCAAGACCAGCCTGGGTATAGTGAGACCTTGTCTCTATAAAACAATTTTTAAAAATTAGCTGAGGGTGGTGGCAAATGCCTGTAGTCCCAGCTACTTGGGAGGCTGAGGAGGAGGATTGCTTGAGCTCAGGAGTTTGAGGTTGCAGTGAGCCATGATTGGACCACTGCACTCTAGCCCAGGCAACAGAGCAAGACTTGTATTTCCCTATCTCTGTCTCTTAACCACTTCGGTACGAGCGTCGACTTTAGCCGACAGTTATGATATGACTTTCCTAATTTTTCATTTATCAAAGTAAAATTGTGAACATTTAAAAATAACGTAATGAAAATATATATGTATATGTTACCTATTCTGATTTTACATTACAAGTAAACTGCCTGTAAAGTAAAACAAGCTTTCAGTGCTTTCATGCTTTCCTCATCACACAAGAGCGAAACAGGTTTGTCATCAATGCACAGCACAAACTATAGTGCGGACTATGAGTGCCGGCTGTGGGCAAGGCTTTGCGGCTGGTGAGCGCCATACCAAAGTGGTTAAAGAAATTTTTTTTTTTTTGCTGAAGATCTTGAAGATCCATAATTTAGCCCCATGTAAAAATGGGCTAATGTTTTCACGTGAGTATTGTCTTTAGTACATGTTTGTCATTCCCTGCAGAAATATGATAAAATTTCTCTCACACGTCCTCCATCTTTTCCATGTAGCTGAGAGTTCAGTCTTAAACATTTATTTGACACAGCATTTGGAAGAAGTACTCTGTAATTATAGCAGCCCTTGGGTAATCCATCTGTTTTTGCCTGTCAGTTCCAATCTTTAACTGTCAACTCTGTTTTGACAAAAGCCTGTTGTTAGAAACTGTTTTCAAAATCAAGCAGAAATTTGTGCATCTTTCTTTTTCTTCTACTTTCTTTACCTGTTTTATTCCCCCCTTACTCCTAATCTTGTATTTCCGTATCTCTTTATTGTATTACAGGACTCTTGACTCTTTAAGTTTTTGCCTTTTAACCTTCTTACTATTTCATCTATACTGAATTGATACTTCAGTTCCCAGTTTTTGGTTTTCCTCAGAGGATCTTTTGGTCCTTTTCCTGGTAGCCCTTAGAAATTGAAGTAGTAATATATATTCTGTGAGGAGAGGGATAGAGTTCTCTAGGAAGCCAAAGAATCATGTACTGGATGGTACTATAATGGGGAACAAAATGTATAGAGAGTGAAGGCCCAAAGATGCTTGACCACAGCTTTTTCCCATCTTAAATATTTCACATATAGTTATAAACTACATACATTCCTCTTTGTATATTTAAATCCTGTTCTTTTTAAAATTAATCTGGCTCAGGTTTTTCCTCTATGAAACCTTTTTAAATAATTTCTTCACATACTGATAAATTCATTTTTGTTGATTTCTGCAGAATTTATAGACATTCCTTTTTGTTTTAAATATGTGAGTCTTATTTATTCTAAAATACCTTAAAAGCACAGAAATCCTTTTATAGACGATTGTGTCTCCCTCACTCCCCCTTTTTTTTCATATGCCTTCCGCTCTTGTATCTAGTAGTCTGATAGGTGGTTGAGAAATGAGGAATATTCCACACATATCATTTTAGAATGCATCTGCCACTGTTCTTTTGTACCAGGTCATCTGTCAGTGGAATATTTCATAGCAGAGGTAGTGTCTTCTATGAACTAGAGATACTTGGCTGGCCAACTTTAGAAATAATGCTATAGTTCGGAGGATGCTAGAAAGCACTGAGATTTGTAATAAAAGTTATATTATTTATCAGTATTCAAGGAGATACTGAATGTACCAAAAAGAATAGAGCATGAGAGATGGGTGCACTATAGAAAAAATATTAAGGCATAACAATTGGCCTGATGGGCAATGCCAGTTTTATAGATTGCCAAAGTCTGGGAACCTAGATGACTCTTTGGTCATAAAGAACTGCTCCCACCTCTAGTATTATCTGCATTCCTTCATCATAGGCCAGTGGGAAAGTGAGTTGTGGCTAGGCATTAACCTTTATCACCTAAATGAAATATTTCTTATGTTTAGAGATTTTTCTCTGGTAGTGGGGATAAAAAGGGACTTTTCCTCCTGTTTCCTGAAGTTTCATTCCAATTTCCAGATAAAACTTTGAAAAGTATAATGAGCACTCCTATTCAGGATGCAGGACTATTAACTGTGTGTTTATGTTCCAGATGATATTTCTGCTATGTTTGTAACTTTTAAAAATATTTCAAGTGGCATTGCTATTATAAAGTGGCTGCAGTGTTGCTTTGTTTTATTTGTCCTGAATTTATGGTGTGTGTATACCAATATACACAGGAGCACACTAGTTGAGTTCCCCTCCATGAACACACAGTTTAATCACGTGTTTTGCTACTTTTTGAGAAATGTTGTTTTCTTTTAAAAATTGCCCTCAAAAAATAGTTTTTAGGATTAATATGGCTGTCCAGTAAATATATTTTTACCAAATTAGGTTTGAAACATAGTTTAACGTTAATTATAATACAGGTTTTACCTATTGTAAAAAAGTTTAGGCTGTGATTGTATAGTGGTTAGTACTCGGTGTACAAAAAACAAAAGTTTTGTTTGGCATTTATTCCTGTCCATCCTTTTCCTTAAATTAAATGGCAGTATTTATATTCTTCATAGCATATTCATTGTTTTACTTAGCATAGAAACATTTTCTCACAGAGGAAAACTGCCTTGAAGAAATACTGAAAAACTCTTTTAGCTTAATAGAAAAGGTAGTGCAGTATCAGTGAAGTATAAAATTAGATTAGGCATTCTACAAGGACTCTGATTTTTTACAGTGTTTAAATTACTGATCCAACCTCATTTTCCAACAAATATAATCACTTGGTGATTCCATAGATCATAAAATGTACTGAGTTTTATTTATAGAAATGCCCACCAGATTTTAATTTATAGATGATTTTATATTATTTTTTGGGTAGATTGAAAGACTTGTAGGCCGGGCGTGGTGGCTTACGCCTGTAATCCTAGCACTTTGGGAGGCCGAGGTGGGCGGATTGCTCAAGGTCAGGAGTTCGAAACCAGCCTGAGCGAGACCCCGTCTCTACCAAAAATAGAAATAAATTAATTGACCAACTAAAAATATATATACAAAAAATTAGCTGGGCATGGTGGCACATGCCTGTAGTCCCAGCTACTCGGGAGGCTGAGGCAGTAGGATCGCTGAGCCCCGGAGATTGAGGTTGCTGTGAGCCAGGCTGACGCCACGGCACTCACTCTAGCCTGGGCAACAAAGTGAGACTCTGTCTCAAAAAAAAAAAAAAAAAAAAAGAAAGACTTGTAGAAGATACTGCAATTTAAACAAAAACATTTTATATACCAAAACCTAAAACAAATCAAAGTTAGAAAGCTGTTTTCAAGTATTCTAGCTGTTCCATGTATAGAATAAAATTCTCTTTTACTCTTTTTCAATTCCTGCTCCTTTTCCTTCCTGTTTCTGGCAAAATGATGCAGTTTCAGTGTTTGATTCACTTCTCCCTCATCACTTAAAGTAACTTTGGATTTTATTTTGTTTAAGGTTGAGCTTAAAGGACTTTGGTTATTGTTTTAGAAATCTTCTGGTATCATAAATTAAGATTTACAGTTTTAAAAGCTGTTGGTTATTTGTCATATTACTCCTCTAAAATTTTCCTCAAATGTGAATTGATTTTTTTAAAAAAACTGTTTTTGGCACATTCTTTTAAAGATATAATTAGTGTACCCTCTGCTTATTAATGAGGGGGAGAGCAAGGATAAGTTAATCTTTATTCTTGATAATCAGCTTGTTTTGTATTTATTTAAAAGAAACAACAAAAGGATTACAGATAAAAGCTTCACTTTAAAATTATTGACATTTCAAAGGTATCATTTGTCATTAAAGATTGTTTTAACATCACACACAACTTGTTCACTGGGCTATTCATTTGAATAATTTCTTTCTTGATATATTATTTCTTGCTATTCAGATAAGTATTTTAGGATTTTTAAAAATTCCATCTTGGGCTGGGCACGATGGCTCATGCCTGTGATCTTAGCACTCTGTGAGGCTGAGGCGGGAGGATAGCTCAAGGTCAGGTGTTCGAAACCAGCCTGAGTAAGAGCGAGACCCCGTCTCTACTAAAAATAGAAAAGAAATTAATTGGCCAACTAAAAATATATAGAAAAAATTAGACGGGCATGGTGGCACATGCCTGTAGTCCCAGCTACTCAGGAGGTTGAGGCAGGAGGATCGCTTGAGCCTAGGAGTTTGAGGTTGCTATGAGTTAGGCTGACACCATGGCACTCAACCCTGGGCAAAAGAGTGAGACTCTGTCTCAAAAAAAAAAAATCCATCTAAGCCAGAGTTAGTTTTGATAACCTCAGTACTCTGTGTACAGTTATGATTTGCTTTCTTAAAATTTATATTTTGAAATTACAATTACAACTGTATTCTGAATTCAGTAATATAATGTCTTGCAGTTTCATTTTGCAAATATAATTTGAATGCTCTAGACATTTTTTAAAAAAATTGAGATCCTTTTTTGACTTATGTTTTGAAGATGGCAGTTCAGAATATTAGGGGCTTGAAATAGGGTCAGTTATGAACCTATATGGTAAACATTAACTCATATCCATTTGTAGTCTCAGACAACTTGAGGTTGCATTTGAACTACATTTGTGAGTGACTTCTGTTAGCTCCTTAAATTATCCAAATTTCTAAAGCTTTCTGTAGAAGTGCTGACATACTGCTTTGGTTATATCCATTGTTCCCAGATTATCCATCTTTCCTACACTGGCATTTTCAGTTAGGGTTAGGAGAGTGAGTGGAGTCATGGTTCAGCTCGGACTTAGGACTATGTCACATCTTTCTCATGCTTGAATTAACCTTCAGTTTGGGCCTGAATGGGTCCAATTCCCATTGGAACTAGGACATTGCCTGTGGCCCTTGTGCTGCTCACAGTTGAATGGGATACCTCAGCCCTAACTTTCTGGTTCAGATGTTTAGGAACATGACTTGAACTTCTAGCAGTTTCAGGTAGGTAATTCCCTCATAAGAAAACATTAACAAAATCTAAATTGTAAGCCTGGTCCACAATTAAATTTTTTTCTTTACATCATATAATTTATATTCTCTAGTTACAGTGGATCATACTCATAGTTGCATATTTTTATTTGAGAAATGTATTTTGTTTGTGATATACTTGCTGTCTAAAGGAAGCTGTCTAAAAAATAATTGCTTAAAGACATTATTGTTTATTAAAACTAAATTTTTTACAATTAGTCTATGTAATTTCAATTGAATGTGATATCAAATAGTCTAACCAGTGATCTGTTGGTGTGATGGCCTAATGGCAAATAAAGTCTTTGCATACAAGTTTATAATCATTTGAAAATCTCATGTTAGGAAGAGTCCTTTGAGTACAACTGTAGAATAATTAGTAGAGTAGAAATTGCATATGAAATGCATGGCCTCTAATTTTTTTTCCTATATTCAAACCTTCCCCTCCTTTGTTAAATAGCATAGCATTATTTCCCAGCAGTGCCACTTTATTTCACTCTGCATATAAGTTGAGTTGAGTTTTCCTGAAAATTTTTTAGGTGAGTACCCAGAATATGAAGATGGGTGGGCTGCCGCGTACAACACCTCCAACTCAGAAACCCCCCAGTCCCCCTATGTCAGGGAAAGGGACACTTGGGTGAGTATGTAACTAAGTATTAATAATAATTGGACACTATTTCATGTAGTGTTGTGTTTTAAAATGAAACACAACATATATTTAAAGTGTTTTTGAATATTTGGAGAACATTGTCTTATTAGAATTATTTTTTATGTGTGTAAATTTCCCTTTTCCTGGGAAATACATCTTCATACTTTAAAAATATTTTGTTTAGAAATTATTTTTCTAATGAATTTTAAATTTGAGGTAAAAATCTTAGCCCAATTATAAATGTCAGTCTAATTTTTAATTCCTTTTTTTCAGAAAATGTTTATACACTTTTGTATTGCAGTTGAACTCAGACTATCCTTCTCAAGAAGGCAGTGTAGATTATAAAATCCTGTAAAATTTGTTATGAGATTATTGAATAGGTTTAGTTTGGTCCTACAGACCAAACTGGGCTCTGGATTTGACTTTTCTTAAAAATGATCAATCAGTGCAAAAGCATGACTTTTTTTCTCTACAGCATCATAGTATAAACTTGGTTTATTGTGATAGAGATTTATGATCAAGTGGGCATAATATAGCCCAGAAGCCAGATGGCTAAAATTCTGGTCCAGCTCTGCTGTTTACTCTGTGGTCCTGCATAGTCAGCCTTTCAGCAATTAAGTTTTTTCATCTGTAAAAGGGGGGTAATATTTGTCCTATATAAACTTTTCAGGGTCACTATACCACAAATTGGATTTTAAAAATGTGTAAGTCAAAGACAAATTGCTTTGGACAACCATTGGCTTTATGATATATGCTAAAAAGTTATTAATTGACAATCTTATTTTTGGCCCCCTCACCAAAAAAACAAAACACCCCCAAAAAACAAAACTTAATCAAGCACTATGGATCAGGGCATGAGTTGGGATTTAATGGAGGATTATGTTGGAAGAGAAATAGTTAGGACAGTGGGAGACAAAAGAATAAAAATGAATTCTAACCAGGAATAGGATAGCTTTTATTTGTGATAGACAAAATTCTACCATAGTTCTAATTCATCTTAGAGAAGAATCTAGTGGATCAAATAAGATTTAAACTTCAGACCTTTTTTTCATGTATAGTGCCTAATGGCTTTTGTTAGGTTTAAATCAAGATTTTTAGCAAGATAACCCACTTAGTCTCTAGAAAAATAAAATTTCCTGTTGCTCTCAGAAATTGAACATATGTTCATATACCACTATTTGTTTTCCTTGTGTATTAGCACTGATAATGCAGAATACTTGGAAACCAGAGTTACTGAGCACCACTCTACCAATTGATGGTCACAGCCTGGTTTCGCCCCTTGTTCATGTCATTGCCTTCACTGTATAGTGCTCAGTTATCAAAGGGTTTTTTTTCTTGGATGAAACAACATTTTTATTGTCTGGGAAAAATTGCAACTTAGATGTTGGAAAATTAACGTTTCCTATTTTATTTTTTATATTTACGTTATAATTTCAGAGATGCTTGAAATTATAACGTAAATATAATTAAAATTTACTATTTTAAATCCAAAGTTCTGACATTCTTTTTTCTTCCTTTGACCCACTATTCCATCCAATGCCCCGTATTTATTTTAAATTATTAATGTTTATGTGTATTTATACAAGGAGACTTTAAAAGGTAGTAGAGTGAATGGGGTCATTGCAAAGTGATCTCATCCAAAGTCAGCCACAATGTGAATGGCCCAGGAGAATAATATTTAAAGGACCTCTGGGAGCCTTTTGGGAAGTCAGTTATTGAGAAATTACATAAGTCACCTGAGAAAATTATATTAGGAAAAGAAAACTTCTTAATTTTCACATCTTGACCAATTTTTATTCTTTTAAAAACCAAAATCTTATATACAAGATGTCAGTTTCATGTCAGTTGAGTATTTATCATTGTTAAAAAGTATTTTTAGAAACTTAGAGATGAGAACTGATTTAATAATCACTTATTTTCCAGTGTGCATCCTATTCCCTATCATATTTCCTTTCTTATTCTTCTCATCCTCTTCCTTTAAAAGGAAGTTTTGGGAAAAAGAGGGAAATATATATTAATAAATTCCAGTCTGGTTTATATTTTATAGTTCAAAGTAAATAAGCTTAGAAAGACTGTGGTGGTCTTTCCCTCCCTCTTGTGAATGTTGAACTCTGAGGGGGTAAAGAGAAAAGAGAGATTAAGGTGAAAGTTGAAGGAGAAAAGTGAATTCAGAATGGAAGATGAGATTAAATTTTGTTTTTTTGTGTACAGCTATACTTTAATTTCTATGTATTTAGTATATAGGAAGGGAAATGAGTTGTTATGGCTAGTATTGATCATCAGTGTGGGGATTGTAGATCCAAAATCTAGTTCCTATGTTTGATGAACATCTTTGGTTAGGGAGAGAGGGGAGAGGAGGATAATTAGTGCATTCATGCAGTACTGTTGGGAACATGATACTAAAATAATTTAAACTCTAAGAATAGGATATGGGAGACATTGGCTTAAATGGTGGAGAACCTTTGTGCTCTCTGAGAATAAATGAACAAAATTGCATTAGCACAGGGAATTGAGGTTGGAAACTAAAAAAAATAATACTCAACAAAACCCTAATGATAGAGAAGTGAAACTTTAGGAAAGACTGAAATTGGTAGCTGGGTTGTGTTAAAACACATTTCCTATCTCTGATTACAAATTGTATTTCACTACTGGCAACTCTATGAATTTATTGTGCCGAAATTTGCTTAATCATACAATACATACGCTCTTCTTTTTGTAGGCGGCACTCCCCCTATCGCACACTGGAGCCAGTGCGTCCTCCAGTGGTACCAAATGATTACGTACCTAGCCCAACCCGTAATATGGCTCCCTCGCAGCAGAGCCCTGTGAGGACAGCTTCTGTGAATCAAAGAAATCGAACTTACAGGTATTTTTTCTACCTCAGTGCAAAATGTGATGGTCATAGTACCAGAATCTGTTCAGATAACTTCAGTTAGATCTCTCTCATTTTCCAAGCACTAATAAGTTCTTTTCCTCACTCTACTCTCCCAAACCTCATCTGATTCCACTTCTCTCTCCTCATGTTCTGATGCAACTTTGAGCAGTCAGGTACTTGAAAAAGAACAGACATCTTGAAGTGCAAACTTCTCTACAAGGTTAATAGTTTAGTTGATCTGAAAAAAAATTATGGACCAAATGTGGGAAATTTCAAGTTGTTTTTTGGTGGAACTTTACAGATGAAAAACTATATTTAATAAAACATTAATATGGAATAGTATATTAAGATATGATTGTAAATTAAATAATATTTTTAGGAAAATGTTTTTATTATAAAACAAGTTTCTTCAGACAGGCATTAAACTGGAATATAAGAAGGTAATATTTGTTATTCTAATGTGTTGAGTCCCAACATTTATTAGTCATATTTGTGGAGAATTTTTTCTTCTGAGAAGTTTCTTTAATATACTCTATTAAAAGGTGGTCAAAACAAGCTGTAGAACTCAGTTTTACCCCAACTTTATTAAGAAATTCGTATGTGAAGTGAAAGGCTTCAGAAATTTTGGGAAGTGCTGATATCTTATTACATGTGGATATTCATATTTTGGTGGCTCTTATTTCTTTAGCAGCAGTGGGAGTAGTGGAGGAAGCCACCCAAGTAGTCGGAGCAGCAGTCGGGAGAACAGTGGAAGTGGGAGTGTGGGGGTTCCTATTGCTGTTCCTACTCCTTCTCCTCCCAGTGTGTTTCCAGGTAAAACATTAATGGTGCTTCATCTTCCCTTTTCCTTCCTGAATTTGATTTTAATTTGTGATTTAATAACAGTGGGCTTTCTTCATAATCAGGATTTTTTTCTTTAGGGCTCCATAAATGTTGGAAAGTCTTTATACATTTGTTATTTTTAACCAAGTGATTTGTAAGTTTTTGCTCACTTTGCACTTCCTTTTTGCCTTTGATGATGTGGCTCAATTGCTGCTTTGAGATTTCAAGTACCACTTTGGTATGGAGTTATATGTTTAATTCCAGCTAGTGGTATGACAGTGCATGTCTTTGGACACAGTAGGGACTCAGTGTGAGAATCATATTGCTAACAAAGGACGAGGCAAATATAAAAGTAGTTTTGACAGTTAATTTTAGTGGATCTTGGAACTTAGTCTCTGAAAATGCTACCCTTTTTTTCTCTGAAACAAGAAAATATGCCTATTTGATCTGAGGACACAGTTGAAATTTAGTTTTAAAAGCATCACACAGATATAAATAGAATATTACATAGTTAATTTATTTACAATAATAAATAGATAATACCTTTTAAAAAATGAAGAAAAAGATTTGTGGTTTTTTTAAATTCTTTTTTACCTGTTAAGATACTGCCTGGAATGTCTATTTTCTGATTTGTGTAATTCAAAATGGAATACTGTTTTGTTTTGTTTTTTTTTTTAGTATATTACATTCAGTTTTGTATACTATTTAAAGAATATTGTGCTAAAAATAACAATATAAAGGGAACACTTTTTTTTTTCCAGAGTGCTGCTTTCAGGTAAAAAGGAATGTTTGCTTTTAATGAATTAAAAAATCTATACATTACCTTGGGCATCTTGAATTATTTGCTGTATACCTAATAATCCTTTAACATAAGTTTCATCCTTTATTTCAACTCTCTATTCTTCTGGTTAGTGTTTAAGCATACTGAATATCTAACATTGAATATTCCAATGCCTTTTCTAACCTCCCTAATGTGACTGCGTCATTAATGCTGCCTCTTACTCCTCTTTTCCCATCAGCCCCCGCTGGCTCTGCTGGCACTCCTCCCCTTCCTGCTGCTTCTGCATCTACCCCTGCCCCTCTTGTTCCTGCTACTGTCCCTTCCTCCACTGCCCCAGACGCTGCTGCTGGGGGTGCCCAGACCCTTGCTGATGGCTTCACTTCTCCAACTCCCCCTGTTGTTTCTTCCACTCCCCCTACAGGTGAGTATTGGCAATATTCATTGACAGGCAGATCTGGTCGTCTGGCTTTTCTTACCTGCATCTCCAGCTTTATGATTTTTTTGTTGCTGTTGTTTGGTTTGGTTTAGTTGTACTTCGTATTAAAACAAAATGAAGGGCCAGGCGCGATGGCCCACGCCTATAATCCTAGCACTCTGGGAGGCGGAGGCGGGTGGATTGCTCAAGGTCAGGAGTTCAAAACCAGCCTGAGCAAGAGCAAGACCCATTTCTACTATAAATAGAAAGAAATAAATTAATTGGCCAACTAGTATACATAGAAAAAATTAGCCGGGCATGGTGGTGCATGCCTGTAGTCCCAGCTACTCGGGAGGCTGAGGCAGCAGGATTGCCTGAGCCCAGGAGTTTGAGGTTGCTGTGAGCTAGGCTGACGCCACGGCACTCACTCTAGCCTGGGGAACAAAGCGAGACTCTGTCTCAAAAAAAAAAAAAAAATAAATAAATACAACAAAATGAAGAATAATGAACTAACCATAAAGTAGCATGTGACCAAAGGTTAGAAATTTTCTGGGAAAGTCAGGGTAAAGTTTTTCATACATTTTTCCAATAGGGTAGCATAAATATTAATATACATGTTTTATTTCTTAAATTTCATTTATTAGAGATTTGTGAATTTAGTATGGAACTACCTTCTATATGGTTTTGAGATCGTCATTAGAAATATTGTTTGTTAGCGGTTAAGTCACTAACAAAAAAGCCTATGATAGTAATTCTAAGATATATTTTATAGGAAATATTTGATATAACAAATTGAAAGTCTAAGTCTATTTTACCAGAATCTGTTGCTTATCATAGCAGCATTGAAAATCATAGACAATGGACTTTTAAAGAATTTCAGGTTTAAGTTGGCCGAGAGTCTACATATTCATAATTAAATGTTAATTTAATAACAGGTGCCTGGCTCATAGTAGTTACTAAATAATGTTTATTATGTGAGTGGATAATTAATTATAGCTTTTTAAAAGCAAAAAGCAAGATAAATGCCTTATTAATTATCAATTTATGACAGTGTAATATCTTTTATACAGTGTCTTTAGGTCTCCAAGTACTTTCTGTACTTTTTATTAAGGTACAATTTATTTACAGTAAAATTCACCCTTTTTAGTGTATATATCTGAGTTTTGGCAAATGTATACAGTCATGTAACCACCACCACCACCTCAATTGAAATGTAAAACAGTCCTGTCATCCCCCAAATTTACTCCATGACCCCTTGTAGTCAATCCTTCTCCTCCCCTCCCAGCTCCTGTTAAGCCCTTGATCTATCTTTTATCTCTAAAGTTTCACCTTTGTAAAAATATCATATAAATGAAGGCATATGGTTTGAAGCCTTTTGGATTTGGTTTTTTGGTCAGATATATATGAGATTTACTCATGTTGTCGAATGTTTAAGTATTTCATTCCTTTTTATTGCTGAGTACTGTTCTATTATTTGAATATACCACAATTTGTTTATCCCTTTCCTAGCTGAATGACATTTATTTAGATTGTTTCTAGTTTTGAGTGAATAAAGCAGCCATAAACATTCACATATAGGCTGGGCGCAGTGGCTCATGTCTGTAATCCTAGCACTCTGGGAGGCCAAGGTGGGAGGATTGCTTGAGCTCAGGAGTTAAAGACCAGCCTGAGCAAGAGTGAGACCCCGTCTCTACTATAAATAGAAAGAAATTAGCCAAACAACTAAAATTAGAAAATATGAGCTGGGCATGGTGGCATGTGCCTGTAGTCCCAGCTATCTGGGAGGCTGAGGCAGGAGGATCGCTTGAGCCTAGGAGTTTGAGGTTGCTGTGAGCTAGGCTGATGCCACAGCACTCTAACCCAGGGAGGAGAGTGAGACTCTGTCTTAAAAAAAAAAACAGAGTTTATACAATACAATTGAGTTTCAGAGTTTGATACATATGTAAAAACATTAAATGCTATAGCAAATCTTAAGTGCCATTATAATATTCTTTATACGACATCATATTAATCCAAGTCTGATACATTTATGGAATTCCTGAGGCACAATTTTAGTCAGGTAAAACCATTTTGTAATCATAAATAAGATGAAAATTTGTCAGAAGTGTTTTTTTACTTACACAATATTTAATTAAAATTACCAAGAAGATGGAATCACATATTAAAACAGAATAAAGACAGTAAGACTGCTGAGAAATGTAAAGGCTGGAAGAGAGGGTATAACTGCATTGTTTGTGAACATAAAGATTTGAACAAAGCAAACAAGCTTTCATTAAATTCTAAATTATTTTTATTAAGCCTTGTCTCACTGAGTTTCATGTAGTTCATTTTAGAACTAAAAAATTTTCTGGATAACTTTAGGCACACATGGATAAATGACTGTGCCCAGTATCTTCTATTTCTTCCCTATCCTTCTTCTCCCCCTTTCTCATGAAGTGCTTTAATGAACTCTTGCCCTCTGGCTTCCTGTTGGTCTTGGCAAAAGTGTTTTTTTTTTCTTTTTCACTTTTCCCTCCCTTTCTCATCCTCCTTCCTTTTCTTCTTCTTTTTCTCTCCCCTCCCCCTATCTTCCTTTGTCTTTTCTTCCCTTCATACTCCCCTCCCTTCTCCTCTTCTCTCACTTCTCTCTCCCTTGACTCTGCTACTTTCCTGCCTGCTGGAATGCTGTCTCTTGGGTGCTCTAGTGCTCTGTCTAAGCCCTCAGCTGAATGTAAGTCAGGGCAAAATTTAGGAACTGGATTGTAGTATTGGCAAATTGATGGATTTGGGAAGTGTTTCTCCAATTGGCATTAGCTGTTGAAGACCTCTCAAGAAAGCGAAATACAATAATGTTGATGTTAAATATGTACTGGTTCAGGAGTGATATTAAAATTAAGATATCTTTTGGTTGATTTTGCATTTTAGTTTTTTTCATAATTGTGAATTTCTTTAATTGTAAAACAAGATAATCTAGCTTTAGAGATGGATATTTTTGATTGAATAAAGATGTGTTTAATTTGGAAGCATGTCATTTCACCTTTTGATGAAGTACTTTTTCCTTTAAACAGATTTCTTTACTACCTTAAATTATTATTATCATTAGCATTATTTATTATTTTGGAATAAGACTGTGCATCAGACATTTTTTCTTTTGCTTTCCCAAATGTCATTCTTGTTTAGTTTTCTATGTTTAGAGGCTGTTTTTTGGGGGATAAAAATTTGAATTAATTGTGATGATTTTGAAAACTGATAAAATTATTAATTTAACAAAATCATAATGTGAATTAGTAATCTATTTAGATGTAGCTTTTGCAGACTTAATCATATTTTTGTTTATTTTCCTCCTTTTGCACTTTGATATATAGTAATATCAGCTGAGTAATCAATATTGCCTTGCATTGTGTTTTTCAGATAGCAATTAAATTTTAATAATTATTAAGATTTAGGCATGGTAGGTAAAGTGTTTCATTATCCAAGGTAATTTTCTTTTATGATAAATTTATGTTCTGTCGCCTTTCCAGGTCATCCTGTTCAATTCTACAGCATGAATAGGCCTGCCTCTCGCCATACTCCTCCAACAATAGGGGGCTCATTGCCCTATAGACGCCCTCCTTCCATAACTTCACAAACAAGCCTTCAGAATCAGATGAATGGAGGACCTTTTTATAGCCAGAATCCAGGTTAGATTTTCTTTTGCGTTCTATAGAATGTGTCAGTGGAAAACATTCAATTAAAAATACGCCCTTATATAAATAACTAGCACATGATAGATGGTTTATACTATTTATTGACTGGAAGATGAATGAATACTATGTTGCTAATACTGTATTTGTCAGTTATTTTTTTTAAATCAATATGTGATTTCCAAGTAAAGTTGTAGGACTTAATTTTTCCCAGCAGAATCCTTTTGAATGTGCTAGTGGTTATTTGCTGTTAAAAATAATATTGTGGTGATTAGTATTTCCTTTATTTTTATTTATTTATTTATTTTGAGACAGAGTGTCACTTTGTTGCCCAGGCTAGAGTGAGTGCCATGGCTTCAGCCTGGCTCACAGCAACCTCAAACTCCTGGGCTCAAGTGATCCTATTGCCTCAGCCTCCCGAGTAGCTGGGACTACAGGCATGCATCACCATGCCCGGCTAATTTTTTCTATGTATACTAGTTGGCCAATTAATTTCTTTCTTTCTGTTTATAGTAGAGACGGGTCTCGCTCTTGCTCAGGCTGGTTTCGAACTCCTGACCTTGAGCAATCCACCCGCCTCAGCCTCCCAGAGTGCTAGGATTACAGATGAGAGCCACCATGCCCGGCTAATTTTTTCTATATATATTAGTTGGCCAGTTAATTTCTTTCTATTTATAGTTGAGACGGGTCTTGCTCTTGCTCAGGCAGGTTTCGAACTCCTGACCTTGAGCAATCCACCCGCCTTGGCCTCCCAGAGTGCTAGGATTACAGGTTTGAGCCACTGTGTCCAGACTATTTCCTTTTTATTTAATTAGACATCCTTGCTGTGTGAGTAACAAATAATGAAAGTTGAGTGTACATGAACAGAATTTAGAAGTGTCAAAAGAAAAGGAAAATGACATTTTTTAAACTACTTTGATTATATTATCTTACTTGATTCTCATATCAGACCCATTATGGGAAAACTGGAACTTGGGAAAAATTGACTTACCTATAATAATTAATGATAATAAATAATTGCAGCATACATAAATAAAAATTAGTTTGGCACATATTTAATGCTATGCATAATCATTATTTTGCTTAGTCCCCAGAGAAGGCAAGAGCAGATATTAGACTCTATGATTATTATAGACATAGCATGTCAACTTATGTTTTTTGGATTTTTGCCAATAGGCTAGTAGGCCCATGTGTGAACAACTCTGATATTAGGAGATAACCCATTCTATCTTTGATAACCCTTGAATTTTATGCCATTGAAATTTGTCTATTGTACTGCTACCTATGGTTATAACCTTTGTAGTCTTGCAGAAGAAATTCGATCTTCTATATAGCACTTACAATTTAAAGAATGTTTTTTGTATTATCTCATTTGATTCTTACAGTCATGTACAAAATAAGATTGGTGATCATTTTCATATGTATTTTACAGGTGAGGAAACTGAGGCTGAGGTGATGGATGATTCCATGTTCTTTCTGTTGCCCTTCTCACCTTTAGATTTTTAAAAATCTTTTTCTTACTCTCTGAAGTCTCTTCTTTTCTGGGGGAGGGGGAGAGGATGGGAAGATGGGAAGGATGCCTCATTATAATGTATAGTTCATGAAAGCCTGAGACCTTGTCAGTCTTTTGTATAGTTATTTCCTGGATATGTTGCTCAGGAACTATTTGTTGAATGTCAAATGAATCCCTTGTTCCCTTATCCAAATCCCTTCATTGTTCTGTGTCCCTGTAAATTAAATGCTATATTTGTAGTCTAACAAATTCAAACCATAGTGTGAATACCAACTGTCTTAATTAAAATATACTTCTCTTACTGCTATCTTTGATCACACTTAATGTTTTTGGTTGTACCATTCTTTTAAACTCATTTTGAACTTAAATTTTGACAAAACTGTCCATCTTTTTCATGCATTCTCTTTTTAAGCCATGTTTTCTAAACCCACAAGTGTTGTTAAATGTTGTTTGTAATTAAATGCATTTTTTATTCCTAAATTTCAGTTTGTTAGACATAGCCTGTTTCACAGTTCTGCTGAAGATAAGCTCTTTTCTTGGCTCTCTTAGGAGTCTAGACAATTATTGCTTATGGCCTTATGCAGGCAGCTTCCTTATCCTGTCCTGTAGAGTTTTGAAAGAATGGTCTCAGTCCAAAATGGGTTGGTTCCATAATGGAGCTGGGAGATGCTTCACTGTTACAGTTTAAGACCAGCTATACATGATATATAACAAGTAAATACAGGGATATTTCATGCTTTGTGCATGTACGAACCAGAGTAGTCCTATGAACCCCTGTAGGTAGAGTTTATTTGAAGGCTGTTTAAGCACATATTAAAGTGCATTTTAAAATACATATTTCAGTACTTCTTTCTTTGGAACTTTTACTTTCACACACTTGAAAGTATATGTTAAAGTAGAAATATACTCTGCTTTATGGAATGATTTTAAGTATTTTTTCACACTCATGGAAGTAAGGTGAATAGGGATTATTGGGTCTTCAGCGTAATGTGTGAGGCAATTTAGTTGTAGTTTTGTTTTTCTGTTCTCTGTTAAATTCTGCCTTTCTTTTTTGGGGATTTGGTAACTGTTTAAAGAATGTGACCACAATTTTGTTGGTTAATCAGAGTGCTTTTTCTAAACTAAAGATTTTTTTTTACCAAACCATGTTCTTTGCATAGCATTTTTTGTAAGACTTAATGCCTTATGAACCAAGTGTTCTATGGTTGTTAGATGTACTTCCACTTCATTTGCATTAGAATATTATATAAGAGCTGGGCACAGTGGCATCAGTCTATAATGCCAGCTAGTTGGGAGGCTGAGGTGGAAGGATTGCTTGAGCCAAGGAATTCAAGGCTGCAGTGTGCCTGTTAATAGCCACTGTACTCAAACCTGGGCAATGTAGTGAGACATCATCTCTAAAAGAAAAAAAAGAATATTGTATAAGTCTCTTGTATTATTTCCACTGGCCCTATACTTCTCCTTGTTTTTTCATATTTAAAATAAGAAAGATTCCTAGCACTCTGGGAGGCTGAGGTGGGTGGATTGCTCGAGGTCAGGAGTTCAAAACCTGCCTGAGCAAGAGCAAGACTCTGTCTCTACTATAAATAGAAAGAAAGAAATTAATTGGCCAACTAATATATATAGAAGAAATTAGCCGGGCATGGTGGCTCATGCCTGTAGTCCCAGCTACTCAGGAGGCTGAGGCAGCAGGATTGCTTGAGCCCAGGAGTTTGAGGTTGCTGTGAGCTAGACTGACGCCACGGCACTCACTCTAGCCTGGGCAACAAAGTGAGACTCTGTCTCAAAAATAAATAAATAAATAAATAAAATAAGAAAATTTGTTGTGCTTTCTTAAGTAGCTAATTTTATGATTTAACAAAAATAATCCTAGGTATGTGTTTTATGAGCCGGTTTTTTTAAAAATTAAAAACAGTTTTTTAAAATTTAACAGTTGGAGACTTGATGTAGATGCATGTTTCTGAAGAAGTGAGTTAATGTGAATGTAAACTCAGTGGGATTCGGTGAGGTATAAATTTAGCAGAACTATTACTGCTACATTTGTTAATGTACAATTTGGTTAAAGATTCCCCCCCCCTCCCCGAAAGACAAGCCCCTGGATGGTTTGAGTTTTTAAAAGGGGATTATAACATAGGAATTAAAATATGGAACACCCAGTGTCTATTGCCATTTGGGAGCACAGATCTTTTCTAATGAGATTATTTCAGAAACAAATTATTGACCAGGGCATAACTGAAATCCCTTTGGTTCTCAATGTTCCTTAATCTAATCCAGCCAGAGAAACAGAAATACCAATTTATCATTCATCTTGCCAGTAGTGAGGAGGGTCATTGAAACACATAGGGCTAACATGAGTAAACAGTCTTTACTTTAAATGTAAATATGAGGCACCTTGGTGGTAAAGAAGACTATGCATGTATCTATATATAGGTATTTGTACATATATATTTGCATATACATATGTAAACCTAGTTTGGTAAGGAATAATCACTATTGTGGCATTTAAGTAAGTACTAAGGCCTTTAGTAGAAAATAGCATTTTACTGCTCATATTTTCTTACAACAAAAATTTAAAAAAAATCGAATTCACAAAGTGGAATGTTGATTCCAACAGGGACAACTATATGTGTATATGTATGTGTATATATATATATATACATATATGTGTATATATATATATATGAGAGAGAGGACTTTCTGAATGGGTATGCTGTTTTACAAATGGAAAATGTCAGGCTTTATTAATGGTATTAAAAACTACCAAAAAGAAACAGGGTAAAAACAATGTTGGGATGATGATATTGCAAAAGAAAAGCTGTATTATATGTTCACTAAATGATTAGTTAAGTTACAGTATTACCATAAATCTCCAGAAGAATACATATATGGTGAACTTTAGCAAAGTATAAATAGCAAGTAACAAGAGGCTGTTTTTGAATCTTTTTTTTTTTTTTTGAGACAAGAGTCTAGTCTGGGCTAGAGTGCCATGGTGTCAGCCTAGCTCATAGCAACCTCAAACTCAAGCAATCCTTCTGCCTCAGCCTCCCAAGTAGTTGGGACTACAGGCATGTGCCACCAGTGCCCGGATAATTATTTCTATATATTTTTAGTTGTCCAGCTAATTTCTTTCCATTTTTAGTAGAGACGGGGTCTCACTCTTGTTCAGGCTGGTCTTAAACTCCTGACCCTGGGTGATCCTCCTGCCTTGGCCTCCCAGAGTGCTAGGATTACAGGTGTGAGCTACCGCGCCCGGCCTGTTTTTGAATCTTTATTTGAGGCAATCTTTAGGGTGTGCTGGATCCTTGAGTGTAGCCTTTTGACTGAATCCAAATTTTACAGAACAAATCCTTTTAATAACAAAGCCTTTTCTAAACTCTTTGAATTGAACATTTAAAAGCACCAAGCCTCAAATCCTTTTAATAAAGTGATTTGTTCTGTGAAGTTTGGATTTAGTTGAGGAGCCACACTTGGAGATCTGGAAAGCCACATGTGGCTTCGAGGCCCCAGGTTCCCCACCCCTTAACCAGGTAAACCAAATAGACACTTTACACGGTTCGACACAAGTTATATTTTTAAATTGTTTTAATCTGCTACTCTTTCTTGGGATAGCTTCATATGGTGATTTTTTTCAATATGAAAAGGAATAACAAAATGATCCAATTTTTTAGAACCCTTCTTAATCCGTAGGACTAATAGCTATTTGGTAGCCACATTCTTTTCCATTAGAGAAGCTCCTTTTACTGATAGGTTAAGTTCACTTTTAAATACTCTCTGTTCTAAGTTGATATCCATGTTTAGAAAATATTTTACTCTTAAAATAAATAGCTTAAATTATTTCTATCACTGGAATGTATAATACAAGTATCTAAACTTGAATGGGCTGTCATAAGTATGGCCTCTAAAGGTGATGTTCTTTAGTGGTTTTAGAAACAGTATTTAGAGTTTTTATGTTGTCTGACTTTCTCGGTATTTATAAAGCTGTAAAAATAAAATGTAAAAGCCCAGTTTTATTTTTTCCAAACTCTTTGAATTGAACATTTAAAAACACCAAGCCTCAAAGATGGTGCTTCAGAGGACTTTATAAATAACCAGGAAGGTTATTCTTAGAATATCTGTGTAATTCATCAGCACAGACTCATCCCCTGAGTTTGGTTTGCTCTGAGCACATAGCTATCATTCTTATAGCTGTTCTACTTATGATCTCTATAAACTATAGTCACTTGGTGAGCCTGTCTTCACATTAGCTTCATTGTTGTATATTGTGAAAATAATATAACTAAAACTAAGTTTGGAGACCTTTTGGCAGTTATAGGGAGAGTCCTGTCATATGAGGAGTCATCTTAGCTAAATGGAATGAAAACAAGTTTATAAAGTTACTTCCCGCTCTTACGTGTGCACAAAATGCCTTGGGCTAGAACTGAATATTGCAAACAATTCTTTACATCAAAATTCTCCTTAAATTTTTCTAGAATAGTTCATTTTCATCTCAATTCTTTTAAGGAAGATAAATCTAGCTAAAATAGCTCAATATATTCTGGTTCACAGGTGTTCTATTTAGATGAAATCTTATGGTCCAGAAAGAAAATGCTATGGTATCGGAGTTAATTTGGACCACCATGTTAAAGGTTTGCTCTGGGCAAAAAGTATACAATTTGGGGTGACTTTTGTAAACCCCAGATGGGACTGAATTTTTGAACATGTGTGGACTAGCTTTGAAAAAAAATCTTAACTTGCTATGAAGTAAGTCTGTTTAAGGAAGATCTGAGATTGTTTTTTTCCCTGGCTGCTGTTGGTGGACTTATTCACTGTGGTTTCAGATTTGTACTTTAAAAACTAGAAAAGAAATAAGCATATTCATCTTAAAAAAAATTCAGTATACCCACAACAAGACTGTTGTAGGTTAAACACCTAATCATTCTTTTTTAGCCAAGTACCAAAAGGTTGTGTTTTTATTTGATAGAGAAACAATGACTGAAGTGGGAAATTTCCTACTTTTCTGTTACAGGGAAGATTGGGATATGTGCCAACAGAAGTGTTTCATCTTATTTGATGTGAACATGCACCTTATTTCTACTCTCCTAGTGCCAACTGCTGTCTGCTGCTGTTTCTCAGTTTTATCTATTTTGTGTCTGCTACCGTCTCTGTTCATTGACTTCTGTTTATCCCAAGTATTGGAAACAAGGTATTGTGAACAATTGTTCCAAGCCTCTGAGTGGGAGACAGACACACAAGCCAAGGATTTGCTGCGAAGATTGTGACTTTAGGGGAAAAACCTAACCAAATGTATCTTTTAAAGAAAGGTACCATTTCTAGGGTTATAGTGCTCTGTTCCTTATGTCAAGATATTCTTCAAGATTATTTGCTTAACTCTGCCTGTGCATTTGTTAATGTTCTCCTTGCAACTATCCATGGAATTAACTGTTGTTTCTTTACTGATGAGTACTCTCTCTGTACCTTCTGATTTTTCACATAAACTCAACCTGTATTTTCCCATTACCTCTCATAGTTATGCTTAAATGACTTTCATACATCTCATTTAATTTATCATATCATTATCTCTCCCTGACCTACCTACTTGCCAGATCATTTCTTACCCAGCATTACCCATCAAAGTGAATGTAGTTAATGGCACGTCTACTTCATAGTTATGAAGGCTAAAAATTTTAAGAATCACCTTCAGCTTGTTGCTCTCTTTTATATACTAGCTAAATCATTAGTTGTCACATCTTTTCCTACACTTTACAGTTCTCACCTTTTTGTTTCTAGAAATGGTTTTGATTTATTTAATATTATGTGCCAGGCACTAGGTTATGCTTTCTGCATCCATTGTCTTTTTTATCTTTGCAACCACTATGTGTAGTAGGTTGTATTATATCTTTTTCATCTCATATTTATAAAATAGGCTGGAAGAAGTTAATTGACTTGCTGTCTTAACAGCAGGGAAATGATACATCAGAGACTTGAGGCTGGGTGACTTTAAAATCCAATCTCTTTCCACTAAGCACTCTTTCACCTGGCATATAGTGTCCTTCCCTTTTCATGTCTACTCACTCATCTTTACAGATCTTTTACTTTCTCTTTCAGGTATCTTATGCTAGCCATATGGAAACATTTCTGGTCCTATGAATTGATCATGCTATTTTATGCCCCTCAGCCTTTGTCCTCACTTGGTTCTCTCAGCTTGATTATCTTTCTCATCCTCTGTCTGCTTGGTGAACTCCTTTTCTTCAAGTACCTGCTCAGAAGTTATTTCTTTGTAGCCCTCCTTAGTACCACTGCCACCCCACCACCACTCAGGGAATTGTTAGAAATATTGTTGAGTGAAGATTATTATTTTCTCTTCTATTCCTGAATGGGATATTATCTCTTTGAGGGCAGAGACTCATTGATCTTTTCAGTTTTATTTGTCTTAACTATAATTTGGAGCTAAAAAAGCATGCTCTGTAAGAAGGTGCATAACATACTTCATACTCATTCTAAAGGAAACTATAACCATAGAGTTAATCTTGTGAAATTGCTTGGTATGTACCAGTTTATTCATGCATTTGTGTATGTTAAACATTTGTTGAAGCCTTACTATTTCTAGGCACTGTGCCAAGTGTTTGAGATGGAGGGAATGATACCTTGGGAAGGAGAATGCGATGATTTGAATAAGGCCAGTACTTTTCTGTAATGTCAGGGAGGAAATGTGCCAATGTGTTAGAGTTATGAAAAATTGTAATGACATAGCACCTGACTCTCAGAGAATGGTTTTGATACTGGTTTCCAAGCAGAGTGCTTGCCACTTAGTAGGAAGTCAGTAAATATTTGTTTAATTAATGAATGAAGAACCAATTAATTTGGCTGTTATTAAAGTAATAAAAAGTATAAATTTAGAATATTGGGATGTAATGGTTTTTTTTTCCTCCTGTATTGACAAAGATTTAAACTTACAACCTTCAAGGGAAAATTCAGAAAACCAACTTATTCATGGTAATCTATAGAAATTCTTTGAGAGGGTATGTTATCAATATGAAAAAGATCAATTGCCATTATATGTTAGGGTAGATCTGTTATATGATAAATGTTTGTTTTCTAATTTTTAAAAACTTACTAAAAATTCCCTAAATACTTTATGTGTTAATGAATTATCCATCAAAAGGGGATTCTTAAGAGCACTTACAAAATGTTTGTGAATAGTGATTTCCCTCCTTTATATGTTTGCTTTATTATATTATCCGTTCCTTTTAATGTAACTCGCCCTTACTCCTTATCCTCCACACCTTTTTTGTTTTTGCAGTATCTCTTGCTCCTCCTCCTCCCTCCATCCTACAGGTAACTCCTCAGTTACCTTTAATGGGATTTGTGGCCAGAGTCCAAGAAAATAGTAAGTTTATGTCTTCTTTATGCTGTAGATCAGATTATAGGCATAAAATGTCATTTATATATGATTGACTAAATGGTCATTCATTTGCTGATATTTCAAATATTTGAATATTGTGAACAAGTCACTCAAGAGCTAGTGGGGATGATAATATAATTAAGATGGAATTTTCTATTTTCAAATAGCTTAAAATCTAGTAGTGAAGTTTAAGACAAATATAAAATGAAGCACATGTAAGAAAAGAAAGATCACACCTAGATGAGGAGATACTCTTTAATCACCAGATATCCCATCTTTTTTGTCTGGTTTGCTTAGATAAGTGGTAGTCTAGTTTCCTATCACTGGAATTTTAGGGTCTGGTAGGTGGCCTGTGACTCTTCCTTCTGTCCTGTGATTCCAGGTGTAACAAGGGCCATGCCATGGTAGGGCCGAGAGGACCAAGCTGCCAGTCTGTCTCCTAAGAGGCCTCATAGATTGGCAATGAATTTATGGTGGCCTATGGTCTAGTATTGAGCCATGCAGAATCAGATAAATGATGTTATTGACACATTAAGCCTTCTGCTAGGGAGGCATTAAGAAAGGTCAGGAGGCCTGTATCAACATTCAGTGAGGAATTGCTGTCAGAGATACCATGAATATAGTCGGTATGATGGATGAATTCTTGTGAGCTGTCTACATGAGGGGCCACATCACAATCATAAGGTTGCATGATGTGCATGAAATCTGAATTAGGGGAATTATATTAAATGTAAGCTCCATGAAAGCAGGGAATTTTTTTTTTTTTTTTTTTTTGCCTGTTTTGTTTGCTGGCTGTTTCTCCAGCACTTAGAAAAGCATCTGACACATAGCAGACACTTTTGGTCCTCCTTTTTTTTGTGCTTCTACAGCTGACTTACTGCCTGCCCCCCTTTATTGACATTCTTTTTTAAAATGTGTTTGTATTTTAACTGGTTATAATCCAATCATATTGGCCCGAGGGCGCAGTGTCTCTTTCACGTGCCTTTGCATCTCTGTTTGCTGATTTCTGAAAATAGTCTGTTTTACTTCTGTTTATTGGAAGGCACCCCCTACATACCTGTAATGTTTACCATACTATGATTTCTTAAGATGTTTTATTAAATTTAAGAGCTATTTTTTCACATATAATTAGGTAGATTTTATGTTTTTAAATTATGCTATTGGGACCCACTGTTGTTTTGGCTTGTGTGTGACCCACACTAGCCCAGGGAGAAAATGGCCTCTCAGCAAGGTTCAGCTGGTCCAGCATGTGGCCAGCACAGCTATAGTGTAACCCTGCGCCAGGCTTGTGAGGTCAAGTGTAGGATAGAAGGTCACTGTTCACTGTTCTTTTTAAAGATTTTCTGCTGCATCTAAACAGGGTAAATTGGGACCAAGTAGAAAAGGATTTAATTATAGTATCAGAATTGAAGGACATTTCCAACGCTGTGTCTTTCTACACATCCATATAAGGTGGAAAATCTAAGTGTCATTGTAGAAAAAGTTTTTTCTCATCACAAATTCATTTTAATCACTATGATTAATGAAGATAGTCACTTGAATAATACCTTGGTGAGAGTTTTTTTTCTGATTTTACTACCATAATGAGTGTGTAACTTGGAGAATTCCACTAGTCAGTTGCTACTGCATGTTTTACAAGATGATGTTACTCATTCCGAACAGAGTGGTTGTGAGCAGATTCTGGAGTAAAGGTCAGATCTTAAAACTGAAATTGCAAGATGGATTTGAAGACTAATTCATGAGTCAAACAGGAATGTTTGTATAGGACCTAAATGGTTATTTATTTTTCAAAAAAACTAGATTTGAAAGTTGAACAGGATTATGAAGCAGGATGTCATTAGTTTTCACCAGTCATTAGTGAAAGTTGCAAAGTTTGTAGAAACATCAAAATGTTTCATGAATAGACCTAAAAAACCCCATTTTATTGAAATGCATGATTACCACTTTAAGACTTAGAAATGTTTTAAGTAGATGATTATAAGACATTATTATAGCAGCATTACCTATATTTTAAAAAGTCATTCTCAAATTTGGCCACCCTATCACAATTGATTACCTTTTGGGATAGTCTTTTTCATCTCTTTCTATGGTCATATACATTTTTCATATACAAAATGTACAAAATAAAAATCATGTATAAGATATGCTGTGACTGATTTTGCAGAGACATAGCAGGACTTATACATTCAAATGAATGTTATCTTCAAAACATTCACCTTAGATATATACCTTTCTTTTGGAATTATCTTCAAAGCTTTTCGGGTATATTATTTTGAAGATACTCTGTGGTAGCACATATTTACTCTGCATTAAATTTGATATTTGGAAGAAGTCTGGAATCATTTGGAACCAGTTATAGTGAACCAGTTATACTAGGGTAAGAATTCTGGTTAAGATCCTATTATTCTCCTTAAGTTCCTCCTGCAGCTTCCTACTGCTCTTTGGTTAGAGTCTAAGCTGTTGTAAGGTCCTTTCAGCCTAGTCCTCTTCAGCTTCCTCATGCCTCTTTCTAATGAACTTTCTATGGTTCTTTGGAAGTTTCCTGCTTTCTTACCTTTGTACTTGTTTTATTCTTTATATCTTACATGAAATATCCAAACCCCTATACCATCCTACCCCCTTCTCCCCATTAACTCTTACTCATTCTTCAGGTCTCAGGAAGCCTTTCCTCACCCACATAAGAGGTTGGTCTATGCTATGTGTTTCCATAATATCTTAAAGCATTGCACTTAATTGTAAATGAAAGTTTGGTTATCCATGTCTTCATGCCTTTTGCCTACTGCTCTTCCTCAGTGCTGAGCGTAATACTTAGTCATAGCAGGCTCTTAGTTGATGTTCGTTGAATGAATAATAATGAAACATGATTTTAAAGTTATTGAATTTATCTTATAGTAGTGTAGCTTTTAAGATAACAGGCATTGGAGTTCAGGTGTTCTTCTACTTACTTGCTGTAGGAATACTTAATCTTGGAAAACCATTTTCCACATCCATAAAATGAGGATTCAAAAACATCTCCCAAGGTAAAGATTAAATGAGATAATGTATTATAAAGTGCTATCTGAATAACTGGAACGTTTTAAGTCAAAAAATGTTAATCTTATTAGACTGGCTGTAAGCAAATTGTAAGAAAGGTAAAAATGAGCAATGGCAGCATTTTTGAGTAATTTTGTAGTGTCATTTCTGAAAGTGATTGTTTTGAAAGTTCCTTTGGATCTATTTTTTGTGTGTGTGCTTGTTTAATGTCAGTCTTTTTACCTTATGAATGCAAATTGGATATATTCTTTCTCACTCTATCCATGTGTAATTTTTCTTAAAGTGTATGCTAAGATCTCATATCTGTATCTTTTTTTATCAATAACCATTAAAACTAATGAATTTTTGTTTAATGAGTAAAGTTTATAAAGTAGATCACTGTAGAGTGGCACAGCAGATGGGAAGAATACTGAAATAGGACAGAGTATGGTGTTGATGTGACTGAGTCTTACCAGGCATCTATAATCTTCTAAAATCCATTTGATTCAATCAGTAGGCTTAGATTAAAAAAAAAGAAGAAGAAAGAAAATAAACAGGATTGCTCAAAGAATTTTACAGAAACAGAATTGGAACCCATAAATAATAATTAGTGCTGTTTATTAAAACTGGGGAGCTGATGAATGCAGGTTTATTAATTTTATTCTGTTGAGTTGTGCTCAAGTGTATACCAAGCATTTGGAAAGCTTTGAGTTCCGAGTTTGAAGGTAATCATTTAGATGTTACTGTGAGATGTTACTGATTACCTGAGCTGTGGAAGCAAATCTCCATAGGAGAGATTTTAAATATTTTAAATCACTCTGATAGTACACTTAGATATTTAGCCTGATTCCCCAGAATCATTCTGTAAACAAACAAAAGAAATAAAACATCTTTATGGATGAAGTTACCCAAATTTACCCAGTTTGATAAAATACTATAAAAAATTTTGAGAGGAAAGTAGCAGATTATTAAAATGTGTCTATTCCTTGGATTCATTCTAATTTGTTATAAGTGAAATATGGTTATAAATGTCCAAATTATTAATATTTATGATAACTTCTCTTTGGATATAGTATAAAGCTACCTTGAAAAGAGGATTATGTATTAGCATAAATAGGTTCTAGAGGGTCAGTTAATAATTAGGCTAAACTTTATTCAGCATACATCAGCACTAACCCAAGGGGGAGAGAGAAAGTCATGCTTGGAGATTTAGAACATTAGTTAACACAAAGACTTCTCTTGCACACTCATTTTTTGAAAGATGATTATTTTCAAATCTAGGTTTATATTCTATGAACTAGAAGCTTGGAGAAGAAATACTGAACTTTGCATAATGTGTAGTTTTGTTTTCAGCTTGATACATTCTTAGTTTCAGATACACCACCTCCACCACCACCTGTGGAAGAGCCAGTCTTTGATGAATCCCCCCCTCCACCACCTCCCCCGGAAGATTACGAAGAGGAGGAAGCAGCTGTGGTTGAGTATAGTGATCCTTATGCTGAAGAGGACCCACCATGGGCTCCAAGGTCTTACTTGGAAAAGGGTAAGTTTCAGAAGGATATCTGGTGGGATGGGAAGAAACTTCCCTACATAGAAATGAAATTTGCTGGTACTAAAGCAAATCTTGAGTGATTTTTACTAAGTAAAGTTTTATTTATTTATCTTTGTTTAACTTGGGTAGAGAACAGAAATCATGTGTTCTTGTGTGCCTGGCATAATGTAAGACTTATACATAAGTAAGGTTGTCTCCCCATTTTGCAATATAGGAAGTTAAAGTTCAAAATTTATGTTACGGAATGCAGCAGAATATACTGTTACAGAAAAGACAGTATTTCATATAGTTATATAAGAAGCTCTTACATATAATATTTGCCATGTACAAGGCTCTGTGCTATTTTATGTGGATCGCCTCATTTAATATAATAATGCTTTTGAATGTTAGCACTATTATAATTCCTATTATACAGTAGAGTAAAAAGAAGCTTAGGAAAATTAAGTATATTTGGTAAATTAATAAGTGATAGAGTTGGGATTTGAACTAGGTCTTGTAACTCTAGACCCACGCTCTTAACCGTTGTCCCAAGCTTGAGCTCTGGTATCTGGCAGACCTGAGCTATACAGTTTAACTAGCATTAAATTCTTCCTAGCAAACTCCTACTTTTATTTGTCACTGCTCGTTTTCTATCTCTTACTTTTATAAAGCCATCTGCTCTTATGGTCTTCTGGCTCAATGATATGACTTCTACCTACAAGTGTAAACAATGTATGAATGTATAGTAATTGTCAGACATCATTTCCGTCCTCACAAGATTGTGACAGTCCCTTGTCTTGTTCATATTTATATCTCTAAAAATCAACATGGATGCTCTATTAATGATTGTCAGAAAATGAATAGTGCCATTAATTCTGTCTGGGGATTCCCATAAAGCTGCTCAGAGGACATGACATTTGTGACATTCCTTAAATGAAAAGTAGGAATGTCACAGGCAGAGAAGAGGGAAAGGAAGGACCTTCCAGTTAGAGGGAATCCCTTGAGCATGAACGTGTGGCTGTTGAGGGCATGGTGAGTAGTGTCCCGTGTAAGGGGTTGTCGGTGGGTCATAGGGAGAGAGTGGTTGGTATGGCTGCACAAAGGGAAGTAAGCTGTAATTAGGTGGTGGAAGGCCTGGAATATGATGCTGAGGTGTTTGGACTTTTTTCTTTTGAAAAAATCTGGTAGCTGAGGTAAATTGTGGAGGATTTTTAAACAAGTTAATGATAAGGTATCATGTACTTATTTAGCCTTTTTTTTTTTTTTTTTTGAGATACCCAATCCTGAGGTAGAATGTATTGAATAGGAGGAAAAGTGGAAGTTGGGAATACCAATTTGGATAAGGGCCTAAGCTGAGGCATTGGTGCTGAAAACCTTGTTCACATAAGTCAGTTAGATGCAAATGGAAGGAGTTTTCACATGGCATTGTCACTTCACTCTTTTAACTCCTTCAGGGTTATTTGCCAAAAATCAAATAATGCTCTGCATTTAAAAATCATATTTTATGGTGTGTTATTAAGGTCTTAAATTTTGTTGAAAGCAAAGGAATGTGAGCCACCCCACTTGCAAAAGGATTGGGTTATGCGATCACTGAAGTAATTCTCTTTCTTAATAACAATGCCAGTATTTTGAATGGTTCCTTTGGTATCCAGAAGTATTTTACACTTTGAGATAGTGCACCACTGTACTTTTGTTAAGCAGGAGAACGAAAAGAAAATGAGAACTTGTATGACTGATGCCTGACTGAATGTGTGATCTCAAGTAGATTAGTTTTAGGAAGCAGTATTTATAGGAGTTGAAAATCTAGAAAAAGAGTCTCTATGTCATCCATACTGCTTTAGAAAATCTTCAGGTTCCCCGAGTGATAAAGGTACTCCATCTTTAAAGAAGCGTGCAATGACTGGGGCAGTGACCATGATAATGGAGAAAAGTGTTTGGATTTGAGAGATTTTAGGAAGTAGAATTGACAGGACTTGGAGATGTAGGGGAAGGTGAATGAAGGGAAGGCAAGGATGACACCAGGTTTCTTGGCTTGGGCAGAAACTCAAGGAGTGTAAGAGAACTAGGAGAAGATACTGCCATGGAAATGGAGGAAAATATCAAGAAAAGGGGACAGAGGTAGTCATCATTGCCAGACAGGGTGGGAAGGTCAATTAGGAAAAGAACTGGAAGAAGCTGTGAGTCTCAGTTAGAAGGTTGTTTCCCTTGAGTGAGCAGTTTCATTAGAATGGAGAGGGTAGAAGGAATATGGCTGCATTCCTTAAGCAGCATTATTTCATAGAAACAGAATCCCCAATAGGATCTAAAACATCTCTTAATTTAGATTACACTGTTAAGTAGTTTAACAAACTCTTCATTGATAGTGTCAAGGTTTAACTGTGTTCCACCTCAGGGCAGGTTATACATAAATTACAAATTATGTTAAATGAGGTTTTACCGACTTAGGGTAAACTTTTCATTTTCCATATAAATAAAATTAACTCATAATTTTTTTTTCAACTTATGTGATTTAATACAAAGTATATTGAAATAGATAATTTTACTAACGTTTTGATTTTCTAGTAGCTTGCAAGTTGAGGCTACTTAATTTCTAGGTGTGGTTGCTAATGCCCTACAATTGGTGGTCATTCTTTTTTAGCTTAGACTAGTCACTTTTATGTAACATTGTCATTTTGGACTCCTTCAACATTGTTGTTATTTTAGTATCACCTCAACTTTTTTCCCCAATACATGTTTAAGTTATAAGTATCCAAAATGCCAGGCTCTGTGTTTGGTGCTAGTTTGCAGTGTGGAGAGATTTTATGTTTAGATTGCTGTTCTTGTTTCAGTTTACTTTATGAGAGACAATAATTTGAGTCCTCTTACTGGTCATTTATGACCATCATATGACACCATTATTCTTTGCTTATATTTAACACTGCAGCATACTTTATATAAAAGTATAGGATTAGAGTAAAAGACAAGCATTTAAACTAAGAAGTTTTGTCCAGTTACTAGACATTCATAAAATATGTTAGAATACCTAAAATTCAAAGGCTAAATTTGAATAAAGCATTTTGAAATTTGGAGTGTATTTTTATTGTAGCAGAAATGTTGAGAAAAACAATGTAGGCACCATTAGTCTTTCTCTATTTCAATCATAACTGCACAGAAACCAGATATTTAGCATTTCCTTTAAAAGTTTTTTTCCTCATGTGCTGCTAAATTCCTTGTGTAATTTAGCTACTGTGTGGTGTGTAATATAGATGTGTAATTGGAAATTATTTATTAGACTTTCCTCAATATTGCCAAAACCATTTTTTCAGACTAAATAAAATCTAGACAGATTTTACTTATCTCACCATCAGTATTTTGAATATCGGTGAAAATAGAGTAAGATACTCATATTTAATACATACCTCTTTAGAGTTATCTTGATAAAAGTCTCTTGCACTAAATCAAGTCTGTTTTTCTTTTGATGAATAGCTTTATGGTGAAGAATTAAATGAAATAAACTACTGGTGCATATCTTATCCAGGAATGAAAATGAATATTCTTAACAGTGTATTTTTTTTTTTTGAGACAGAGTCTCACTTTGTCACCCAGGCTAGAGTGAGTGCCGTGGTGTCTGCTCAGCTCACAGCAACCTCAATCTCCTGGGCTCAAGCAATCCTGCTGCCTCAGCCTCCCGAGTAGCTGGGACTACAGGCATGTGCCACCATGCCCGGCTAATTTTTTCTATATATATTAGTTGGCCAATTAATTTCTTTCTATTTATAGTAGAGACGGGGTCTCACTCTTGCTCAGGCTGGTTTCGAACTCCTGACCTCGAGCGATCCGCCCGCCTCGGCCTCCCAGAAAGCTAGGATTATAGGCGTGAGCCACCGCGCCCGGCCTAACAGTGTATTTTTTAGATTAAAAAAAAAGGCAGTTAATGTCATAATAGTGGTCACTAATTTTAACAAAAGATGTTTAGCAGTTGTTAAAGCTCTCAGTGCTACACTACTATAGAGTTCTAGAATATTCAATGTAAATCCTATCTAATCCTATTTCTACATTTTGAAGGAGAAAATGGATGCACATAGAGCTTAATAACTTCACTTCTGCTAAACATTTTTTCTATAGCAACAGCCTTTATAGCATCTTCTGAATTAGTGTTCAGTGGGTTTGTGTTTTTATAAGCATCAAGAATGTTGTCATTCCTTTAAAAATGCTAGACAGCATTAGGTTGACTAGAAATACTAAATACTCTAACTTGTATTCTCTTATATTTATAGTTAAACTTGTATATCATTTCATTACATTTGTGTTTAGGTGTTTGGTTGTCCTTTGAGAAATACACACTGAATTATTTCTAGCTAGGACCCTCTAAAGTACTTTCTTTCTGGCATCCTTAATATATCACTAGAGTGGAGAATATTCACAGTTTAAGAAGGCTATTTAAGTTTTACTAAAGCAGACCAGAAACACAAATTTCCATTAGCTAGGGCAAGTTGCGATATCTAAAGTCCGTGATGTGCTTTCTGTTTCTCATTTATTTATGTGAGGCATAAAGTTGCACGAGAAACTAACAAAGACAGTGTATCTTTTCAGAATAATGGATAGATGGAAATTTTATTGAGTAAAATTCTGAGTGGTATAAAAAAGGTACAGGGGTAGATAAAGAGATTGGAATAAAAGATAACACTTGAAGTGGATTTGAGCAAGTTGCAAGGTATCCCAGTGTAACTTAAGAGTTGAGATAGATGTAATATTTATGAACCAGAGATTATTTGTGATAGTTGTTGAAGGGGCTCTGTTACCAAGTGAGTTAAGCAATAAAAATCACAGGAGACCGTGAGTGTTTTGGTTTTCTTACCACTTTTAGTCTGCTATTGTTATATTAAGTTGATGACATAATGTGGCATATGTTTTGAAAGAATATATATGGTGACTCCTATCATTCATGCATTTAACTTTTGGGAATTCATCCTCCTTTCTGCTCAGTGAGTAGGCATGGGCTCTAGAAAGTGTGAGAAAGGAGACATAAATCTGCCATTCCCTTAGTCTTGTCTTATTTCTTATTTGTCTTTCATAGTGTAACTCACTAGTATAATTCTGTTTAAAGGAAAGCATTTTTTTTAACATGTCTCAACACAAGCCCAAATGAAAAAATAGCCATCTTTCTTGATTCTGAAATTGTGCATCTCTCTTCAATGAGATAGTTTCCCATAGCCTTTTGAATGGTAAATTTGACTAAGTGTGTTTTTTTATCATTTGTACTCAATTTAGAACTTAACCTCCCTAGAAAATAGTATGCCATTGTATAGAACTGGGTATTACTAAGACAAAAATATAAATTTTTGTTGGTGTTTAGAAAGTCACAACGTTTGAGTGCTGCAGAAGTTGGGAAAAGGATGGATGTTCGCTAATTTGGTTCTTTACAGGAATATTCTTTTTCACATCCTATTGTGTTTTTTCCCCTCCTAGTTGTGGCAATTTATGACTATACAAAAGACAAGGAAGATGAGCTGTCCTTTCAGGAAGGAGCCATTATTTATGTCATCAAGAAGAATGACGATGGTTGGTATGAGGGAGTTATGAATGGAGTGACTGGGCTGTTTCCCGGGAATTATGTTGAATCTATCATGCATTATTCTGAGTAGAGCTCAGAAGGGCTGTGCTTCCCTCACAGGAATAGTCAGGTCTTCCCAGGTTATCTGAAGGCCCTGGGGATTCCACTCCAGTGAAATAGAATGAAGGATACAAATGATAAAAATTACTTACTTTTTTGATTTATCCCCCAGTATTAAAACAAAAAAAAGCAAGCTGAGTCTGAACAAATGGATCTTTCTGCCATCATTTGTACTATGCTGAGCTGTCTGGATTGAAATAAAGTGACCATTTCTGAATATGTCAAGGTATAACAACGTAACTATGTAGCTAAAACAAATCTGATTAAGACTGATGCAGAAAAATCTGGGATCTTGCTCAGGAATACTGTACACCGTTGGGATCTCTCCTCCTGCAGAATCTGTGGCATTGGATGTTCTTCATTGCCTGTGCTAAGGGGTTAACCTTATGGCCCAGTGGATACCATAGCCCCTCATTTTCTTCCACTTGTATGAAGAGGAGGGAACCAACATTTAAATACCATTCTTAACCATTTTTACTATTGTTGTAGATGGCTTCTTTCCTCTTTAACACTGTAAATTCTGCATTCTCTCAGCACTTGAGTGCTTCAGATGAGTTAATGCTGAACTCAACTTGCATCCCTTCATGTTTCTGTTTGTAGATTATAAGGATGATGAAATGTGAAAGTCTCCAGCATTCCAAGGGTGGTTAACAATTGCCACAGTTTGATTTTAATGTGCTGCTGCATGGGACTGCGTTGTTGCTAATGACCAGTGTATCCATATGTACAGTGTGGTAGGCTGGTTCATATGCTGAGGTAGGTGTGCAAAGCTAGATGTGAAGGTTCCTAAGGTTCTAAAGAGACTGAATCATAGAAATGTTCTCCTCAACAGGCATCCTGAACCCTTGCCTCAGGTGTTGTTTTGAGGAGTAGGATCTTGGAGGCCAGGCCAACTGTTACTGTCACTTCTTTCATTATTTAGAAAAACACTGTTCTTTTTTGGAAGATAATAGTGGTTATTTTCAAGTCTCTTGACAGTTCCTAGGAATAAAAGGCTTGCTACTGTGCTCTCTGAATGTTATTAATGGCCAGTGTTAGTTGCTGCTGTGTCAATTACTCACTTAACTCTAGAAAAGGTAAATATTCTCCTGATTTTATGATTGGACTCTGAAGTAGCTGCTCTTAGTAAGAATTTGAACCTTATATTTCAGACTAAGAATTTAATAGTGGGATAAGAGTAATAGGCCAAAATACCCAATCACATTGATGAAAATATAATTGAGAGAAATAATAACAAAAAATATTTCTCTCCAATCTGTACAATAACAGCTTCAAATCCAGTGGGTTTTGTAGGGCAGATGGCTTTAATTGTCACTACTGTAATCAGGGTAAGAAATATGGAAAAAATCCAGGAGAGTTTGCTTCTCAGTGAGTGAATATTGTAATGATGGGCCAGCTCATGGTTAGGCCCAAAGTTGCCAGTGTGGGTTCTTCCAAGTCCCAGTGACTTGACCAGAATACAGCTCTGCCAGGTAACTTCCCTGTGCTACATTAAAGGGGAAAGGCAATAGCTGTGTACATTTCAATTGTAGGCCTTGAAGTGGCCTACATGATAGGGTAGGACAGGTAGTAGAGGAACTTGATTGAAAAATGAACAAGTATAGTAGTATATGAGGAAATGCAGATGAGTGTAGGCAGAAGTTAATATTTCACTTGCAGATTTGTTATTTGAGCATAAAACTTCATCACCATTTAACCAAGATCCAGCTATAGTTTCCTTATCAACTTATTTTTGTTTTGAAGTTGCAGTTTTTAAAAAAATACATTGCAAGTTAGATTTGCTATTTTGTGTTTAGGTTTTCCCAACACTTTGGATTTAGCTTTCATTGACTTGTGTCCAGTACACATTGCACGTTGTTCTTTTATTAGGTCACCTCAACATCTCTTATTCCTTATTTTCCTTCAAAGAGCCCTCAATGTCCTCTGAGCCTTTAGTTCCATTATGGACCCAAATTTGACTGCACGTAGATAGGTTAAGCTCTTCATTGTACTGGTGTATAACAAGGAAAACTGATTCGAAAATTAAATATTCCAATTATTTATTTAAATAGCTTCTTTCTGAGACAGCTTAGTGGATTAATAAGGCAGAGGGTGTTTTGAAATTCAACAAATAGTTCCCACAGCTCATCACTAAAGAAGCAGAGAAGACAACTGTGCAGAAAGCAAAGTTTGTGGCAGTGAGCGGGAATGCAGCTTGCCTGTTGGACCCCTGCTGGATTGGGGAGTGCAGAAGACACTAACGTCCATTATACTGAAGACCTGCAGTGGGGGGAATCCATGGGTCAGCTGATTTTTTCCCTGTATTATTTAGTACTAATGTGTGTGTGTGATTTTTGTTTTATAAACAATACCTGTTGGATTTTCTGCATATTTTGAATTTTTGTATAGTTTTGAATTCTGTAGATTGTCTTGGAAGGATACTGTGTAATGATGATGGGCCAGGCCTATAGTAATTGGAGACTTTTAATGTATGTAATATTTCATAGATTGCATGCTATTAATAGTCTGTGAGGGTAGTATTTCCTGTTTTATTGTAAGTTTCCCCATTTATCTTTTTATAAACTAGAAGTTGGTTGGCATTAGGAATTCCAAGTGAATGCAGAAAATCTTACATGCTACATACTGTTAATATTGTAGCAGATAATCCGAGTCTAAAATCTGCTGACCAGTAAGCAACCATTTTATCAGTATAGAGGGAATATAATGGGAAAGGGCATTCTTTCCTTTTGAAGTGTTTCCTTTTGATTGTGTTTCTATTCCCCTTCCTTTTTTTTTTTTTTTTTTTTTTTTTTTAAGAGTGACTGAATAGTTGTCTCTTTTTCTTTTTTGGTATTAATATTTGAAAGTCCATGTGGATATAAATGAAAATACACTTTCTTGTTGTCTTTGACCTTATTATGGCCAAGGCAATGAACCAGAAACAGAAAAATAGTGCCAATATGTCAAAATCTAGACCTGAGAGATTCAGCCTGCTGTGTTTGGAATAAATATGAATCTTTTAAGCTGTCTTGTTTAGTATTTTCCATCTTTTGACTACTTCCTTTCTATGTCCTTCAGAAGCACCTGCTGTTCCCATCTCAGGATTGGCAAGGGCCTGCACATTTTGCTAAATGTTCCTAAAAGTCATTGGGTATGAGACGTTTTCAACCTCTCCTTTCTTTCCTCTTGCTATTCTTTATTATCTAGCTGGAGAGAATGTTTTATGCATCTTTGCAGTATCTGTCCTGTAGCTGTGCTTCTTAGTGCTAGTTTTATTTTTAATTAAGATTTTTCTGTTTGGGAGTCATCAAAATCATGGTAGTTTGCTTTTATCTTTTTGTGTTAATTTTTTAAGTGACCTTTCTACATTAAGAACTGTTCTTTTGTCTTGTATAATCTTTTCTCCTCTGTGGAAAGAGCATGGCATGTCTTGAAGGACATCTTTACCTTTGAAAAGGGTTTGGTGGAGGAATTGGCAGGTGACTGCCAAGTCTTTCAAAAGAATGGGGATCTATTCACTTCTTGGCTAAGAACTCCTGATTGGTGTGTTAAGGTGATAATTTTCCTTAGATGATTTACTTAGAATCACAGAATATTAGAGCTAGATGAGATCTAAAAAATTTTTGTGGTCTCATTTGACTGATGAGGCAAGATGTTTTGTTTTAGATGAACAGCTATTTTACAGTGGTAGAGTTCCTGACTCAATGCCCAGTACTCTTTCCAGTGCACCGCAGCTGTCTTAACTAAATGTGCTGTAGTTTTCTTTAAAAATTAAGAGTTCTACTTGATGTTTTCAGGAATATACTTGAAAAGATATGCCATGGTTTGATAAATGCCCTGAGTTGTTTAAAGGAGTGTACTAAATACAGCCTTAGTGAAAATAATCTTCATTTACCCCTTCTAAAACTATACTCAGCATAAACACTTTTCCATAAGGTGTAGTAAAAATACTGGCAGGAGCATAGCACAGCAATCTGCCTTATTTGAGAGAGCCTTATAAAATAGTTATTAAATGGAGGCATTGAGCTCATTACCTTTAAGTTTCCTTTATGCTGATCTTTGTTCCTGTTTTATTGAGAATATCATAATTCTAAAAAGAATGAAATGACAGGGCCTAGTTGTGTATAAATGATTCTTGATAAATATCTTAAGATTTTTTATAAAAAAAAGACCAAAAAAGCTTATTTTCACATTAAAATGAAACCTCTTTTGCAACTTCAGAATTCTATGGAAAGCAGTTTTTAATCATATTTTGTGTCCATGTACCATTTTTCTTAAAATGGTTTACAAAAAAGAATGTAAACAATTTGTGATTTGGCTAGTTGTACTTTTTAAGCTCCCACAGGGAGAGCTGGTGGTGGTGTGAGTTGAGTAAAACCCATTCAGGAAAACTCGAGGGAGCAGTCTGTTGCCAGTAATGTTCCTTGTATGTGCCATTAAACCACCTCCAGATAAGTGAGGAAACATTCACTTTTTAATTTTTTAATTGTATTTGGAATTGTTGCTGTGTACTAAGAACTTGACCTAAATAAAATCCCACAAAGTATATTTAAGTGTCTTTGTGAAATTATGTAAGTGACCCTTTTCTAAGGTGGTATCAAAGTTTAATTGTTGGAGATAATTCTTGACTTTGTAGCTGTTTTTAATTACCGAAGTAAGTCTTTTTAGACTTTAGATACTTAAAATGTTGAGCCTTAATCAGGTTTGATTTCTGAAGTTCTTCTATTCAAGATAGCTGCTCTAATTATGAAGTGTTTTCTATCCCTATTTTTGCTCACCCAACCTGGGCTTTTATCACTTTCTTCCAAATATATCTAATTCTGTTAATGTAAGATTTTTTTCAAACACTGAGGATGGGTGCTAACTAAAATATATCACAGACTGGTCAGAGGTGTGATTTAAAAGACCCAAAAAACCTCAAACCACAAGCAAGCCTTATGTGTGTGGTTGGTTAAGAACTCAGATTATGAACTGACTAAAAGAATTTTTTAACCACTTTGGTGCGGCACTCACTGGCCGAGAAACCTTGCCCACAGCCGGCACTCATAGCCCGCACTATAGTTTGTGCTGTGCATTGATGACGAATCCGTTTTGCTCTTGTGTGATGAGGAAAGCTTGAAAGCACTGAAAGCTTGTTTTACTTTACAGGCAGCTTTACTTGTAATGTAAATCAGAATAGGTAACATATACATATATGTTTTCATTTCATTATTTTTAAATGTTCACAATGTTATTTTGATAAATGAAAAATTAGAAAAGTCATTTCACGGCTGTTGGCTAAAGTTGCTGTGCGCATTCATCTGTGGCTACTGACTATAGTCCAAGCCACAGGTGTCATCTGGTACTGAAGTGGTTAATGATTATGTTTGAAAGTAACAATGGAGAATAATGCTTCAGTTTTCCCCACCTTCCATCTTATTTCCTCTGTGCCTTTCTCTTTTGGATATCATTAGGTGATGTGGAATAATGTGGAATACCCATTCACATTTTAAAGGCATACTTTTAAGAAAAGGGTTTCTCTTATCAATAGGAATTTTAGGCATGAGAGTAGTCTTGTCTCAAGATGTTTAGTATCCAGCCTTAATTATCCTCTTAAGTAACTGCTTTTGAGTTACTTTGGGATGACACATTTGGTTGAAATTCTTTGTGGATTTGGGAGCAGGGGTAGATGCCATTTATTCTGTTGTCTTGTCTGCCTGTGTTCATTATACAATGTATACTGCTGCTTCCGAAGCCAAAATATAGGTGCAGTTTCCACAACCAGGTATGACTGACACATGGTGAATGAAGGGGGGAGGGCTTCCATATTTTTACCTGAGTTTGGTAAATAATGATGATCTAGAAACAGCACACATTTGTGTACATACCTTCACATGGCATTCAGACACATAACTATTACTCCAAATCTTTGAAACAGCGTCTTTTTTTTGTACCTAGGTCTTCGTTTAAAGAAAAAAATAATTAAAACTATCATTCTTAATTGTATTGCTAAAGTCTGTTGGTATAAACTATTTTTTACTTAAAAGTTAACAAATTGAACACATCAAAATGTAGTTTGTTGAAGGGAGGCAAGATGGTGGATGAGAAACACCTCCAGCCAGAATGTCCCTGCAAGAAGAAACTGTAGATGAAAGAGAAAAAAAAATAGGCAAATATAGATTGGATGAGGGTCGCAAGGATGAGTGCCTGAACATGCAGGAGACTCCATGGGAAGAGGTGGTGGAGCAGAACTGGAAAGAGAAAGGCATCAGCAGGGATTAAGTCCTGAGAGACTTGGAGACAAGTGACAAGGGTAAGTGGAACAGTTAAAATTTCCCTCCCTTACACCTTGGACTGCTGGTGAGCTCCTGAGCTGCTGGAGAGACTTGCCAACACCAGCCCAGAGACTGCTGCTGCCAGTGAACAGCGAGCCTCTTGCAGACAGGGCACCAGACTCCCAGCTCCCTTGGGGCACCTCCTGCCCCACAGACGCAAGCCAGTGGGCAGGCACCATATTGCTTCATTCTCCCCTTCTTATACCCGCTGCTGCCTAGAGAGAGAATTTAGCCACCACCCAGAGGCATCCACAGGGAACAGGACCTTTCCTTTTGGGGCCCTGCAGTGGACTAAAGGGTGTTTGATTTGTGAGCTCCATGCCTGCCAGCCATTCCTGGTGCTGCTTGCCCAGTGATTCCAGCAGAGCGGGGCAAACCCTAAGGCAGAGAGACATTCATCTAGCTTGGGTGCCCCATGGGTGACTTGGGACCAGCATTCTTCTCCCTGGCATGGTCAGGGATTGATCTCTGGGGCCCAGGGGACAGGCCTGCAGGCCAGATCCTGTATATCCAGGTCTTGACCACATTGCCTGGGGGCACAGAGGAATATTTGTGAATTAGTCTACTGAGGTGTGTGTTCCTTCAGGGGCAGATCCTACTGAGTCCTAGCTGTAGTGTGCTGGAGGTCACTCCTCCTCCCATGGGAGGGCCATACTCCCAGGTCAGGCTGAGATCCTGGGCAGGGAACCTCCTGGCCCACATCATGGTTAAGGTAGGGAGCTCAGCTGGCGTGAGGTCCTGCCTGCTGGCAGAGGCCCGGGTGGAAAGGAGCAAGGCCAACTCCATACTGCGATTTTCAGACAGCCCCACCCTGGCAGCTTTGCCCAGAGGCAGGGAGCAGACCTTTGACCCCTGCTAAAAGCATCTGTGGAGCTAGAGGGCAGGCTCACCCCCCCCACCCACCCCTAGGGGGGTGGAGAATAAGGACACATCTGGAAGTCCCATGGCCCCACCCATCACCTGAGGCACCAAATGCCTCTCCAGAGGAACAGGAGCTGGTTACAGGACCCAGAAACAACACTGCAGCTTGCTTCTCCCAGCAACTGCCACCTAATGACAGGGAGGTCAGTTTGAACGCCCTTTAACTGTATTTACCAACTCATACAGGATGTGGTTGATTCTCACCCACTAGCTCAGAGACTAAACTGTGCCATTATCTAAACAAAAATCCAAAGGTAAGAAGCAACAGCTGCTCCAGATGGAAAGGAATCAGCAAAAGAACTCTCAAAGTATGAAGAATTGAACTTAAAAGATACCTCCAAAAGGGAACACCAGCTCTCTAGCAAGGGGTGAAATCAGGGCACTGAAATGACAGAATTTTAAACATGGATTATAAGAGAATGCAAGAGAAAACGGATACCCAACACAAACCACACAAAAAAAATCCAGGAAATGGAAGAAAATTCACTAAAATTGAAATATTAAAATCAAACAGAACTTCTGGAAATGAACTTATTCAAGGAATTATAAGACAGTGAAAAGATTCAAGAATAGGCTAGATCAAGCAGAAGAATCTCAGGGATTGAAGACAACACCTTTCAATTAAGTCAGTCACAGAGCAGAGAAATAAAAGAGCAAAGCCTACAAGAAATGTGGGATTATGTGAAAGAGGTCTAACATAAGAATTATAGGCATCTCTTGAGGGTGAACAAGAAAATACAGTAGGGTTGGATGAACTATTTGAGGATATAATGGAGGAAAACTTCCCTGGCCTTGCTAGAAATCTAGATATCCAGGTATAAGAAGCTCAAAGGACTCCTGGGAGATTCATTGCAAACAGGATGACACCACTACACATAGTCATCAGACTGGCCAAAGTAAACACAAAAGAGGCCCTCCTACGAGCTGTAAGGCAAAATAAGCAGGTAACCTACAAAGGAAAACCCATCAAACTACTCAACTGAGACCTTATAAGACAGAAGACTCTGGGGCCTCATTCTTAGTCTCCTCAAACAGAATAGTGCCCAGCCTAGAATTTTGTATCCTGTAAAACTTAAGTTTCTTATGAGAAATAAAGACCTTCTTAGACAAGCAAAGACTGAGGGAATTTCATCAAGATGAGACTTGCCCTCCAGGAAGTACTCAGGACAGGGTTACATACAGATCAACACAAGAGACACCAGTGTAAAATCATCCAAAGCTAAAGGTCAAAGGCCAGATATCACAATGGCTCAAGATAAAGCAACAAAGTTCAGTTCTACAGGATGAACAGAAATCTGCCTCACTTATCAATTCTTTCAATAAATGTGGATGGCTTGAACTGCCCACTAAAGAAACATAGGCTGGCCAAATGGATAAATATACACAAGCCAACTATGTGCTGTCCTCAGGAAACGCACCTAACCCACAAGGATGCATTTGGGCTCACGGTGAAGGGATGGAAAACAATATTTCATGCAAATGGAAACAAAAAGAAAGCTGGCATAGCAGTTCAGATTTCAAATAATTTAGTCTTCAAGTCAACAAAAGTAATGAAAGACAATTGTCACTATATAATGGTGAAGGATACAATGCAACAAGAAGACATAACAGTTCTAAATATTTATGCACCTCAGGTGCACCCAGATTCATAAAGCAAACCCTATTTGATCTAAACAATGATAAGCAGCAGCACTGTAATAGCCACAGACTTCAACACCCTTCTGACAGAATAGGACAAACTTCCAAACAGAAAATAAACAAAGAAACAATAGACAAACAGAACTCTAGAACAAATCGGCCTAACAGACATTCATAGAACATTCTATCCAAAAACTACTGAACATACATTTTTCTCGCTCATGGGATATTTTCTAAGATTGACCATATCCTAGGCCACAAAACATGTCCCAACAAATTGTACCATGTATCTTCTGAGACCACAGTGGAATAAAATTAGAAAGCAACAGAAACTCTCATCTATACACAAAGTTATGGAAACTAGACAACCTTCTGCTGAACAATTATTGGGTTGAGGAAATTAAGATGGAAATCAAAAGATTCTTTGAACTAAATGATAAAGGAGACACAAATTATCAAAATCTGTGCGACACAGCTAACGCAGTCCTGAGAGGAAAATTTATATCCACGGATGCCTACATCCACAATACAAAAAGATCATCAACAATCTATGAATCACCTCAAAGAACTGGGAAAGGATGAGAAAACCAATCCCAAACCCAGCAGAAGAAAAGAAATAACAAAGATCAGAGCAGAACTTAATGAAACCAACAACACAAAACTATACTGAAGATT